GTGAGACTTGCGGCAAGGGTGATGATGCTGATAAAATCCTGATTTGCGAATCTTGCGATTATGGTCATCATATGCAATGTCTTGATCCTCCCGTGACCCATAAACCAGATTTTGATTGGCATTGTCCTAGATGCTTAGTTGGAGATGGTCAATTTGGATTTGAAGAAGGTGGAATCTACTCACTGAAGCAGTTTCAAGAAAAGGCAGCAGACTTCAAGGAAGGATACTTCCAAAACAAAATGCCATTTGATCCCGTTCTCAATTGCCCTCGACCAGTTACGGAAGATGACATCGAAAGAGAATTCTGGAGATTGGTTGCGAGCCTAGAAGAAACTGTCGAGGTTGAATACGGTGCTGATATTCATTCAACTACACACGGAAGTGGATTCCCAACCCTAGAAAGACAACCACAAAATCCCTACTCTACCGATCCCTGGAATTTGACGAATATGCCACTTCATGGAGAGTCCCTATTCAGACATATCAAATCGGATATCTCCGGTATGACTGTACCTTGGTTGTACGTTGGAATGATCTTTTCGACTTTTTGCTGGCACAATGAAGATCACTACGCATATTCCGCAAATTATCAACATTTCGGATCAACAAAGACTTGGTACGGGATTCCAGGGGAAGATGCCGAGAAATTCGAAGACGCCATGCGAGAAGCTGTACCCGAATTATTTGAAACACAACCTGACTTATTGTTTCAATTGGTCACATTATTGACCCCAGAACAATTAAAGAAAGCAGGCGTTAGAGTGTATGCTTTGGATCAAAGAGCTGGCCAATTCGTCATCACCTTTCCTCAAGCATACCATGCTGGATTTAACCATGGTTTTAATTTCAATGAAGCCGTTAATTTCGCACCCACGGACTGGGAACCATTCGGGGATTCTGGAGTTGAACGCCTCCAACAGTTCAGACGACAGCCATGCTTTTCCCATGATGAACTCTTATGGACTGCAGCTGAAGGTGCGGCAACTGGCGGTGTTACCATTCAGACCGCCAAATGGCTAGCCCCTGCTCTTGGACGACTTCGCGATCGAGAGGTTTCACAAAGAAAAGATTTCATTGATAAACACAAAGAAGATGGTCATACATGTGTCATTACTGATGTCATTGAAGGTGCTGGTCCCAGGTGTCACATTGGATTCCAGATCGATGAAGAAGATGTACCAGAGGAGGAGTATCAATGCATTCACTGCAAAGCTTATGCGTATATCTCAAGATTCAAGTGCAACAAGAGTGGCAAGGTGCTGTGTCTTCTCCACGCGGGTACTTATGAATGTTGCGATATCACCGAAGCAGAAAGATTTGCGGGTACTGACCATACTCTTCATTACCGTCGTACAGAAGAAGCCATTTCAAGTATGCACCAAAAGGTCGCTGATAAAGCAGGTTTGCCTGAAATCTGGGAAGAAAAAGTGGAAAAGTTTCTCGAAGAAGATGCAACTCCATCGTTGAAAACTTTGCGGACCCTTTTGAATGAAGGAGAGCGCATCCCGTATGATTTACCATCCCTCCCTTCACTCAAGAAATTTGTTGATCGTTGTAACGAATGGGTGGAAGAAGCAACAAACTACACCGTTCGAAAACAGCAAAACCGACGAAAGAACGAAAAAGCCTGGCGCAAGGGCAGTAGAGCCGCAGAAATGGAGGAAAGGGACCGTGAATTAAGAAAATTCGAAAACGTTGTCAAGTTATTGAAAGATGCGGATAGAATTGGCTTCCATTGTCCAGAAGTTGATCAACTACGAGAGCGAGCGGATGCCATCACGAAGTTCCAGACCGATGCCAGAGCGGCTTTAGCCCACCCAAGTTCACGTCGTACGACTGAGTTCGAAGAACTTCTAGAAGTTGGACGAGGATTCAATGTCGATATGGTCGAGATTGATAAGCTTGAGAAGGAAGTTCAACAAATGAAGTGGAATGATCGAGCCCGTGATAATCGTGGAATCTTCCTCTCTCTAAAGGAGGTCAGCGATATCATCGACGAAGCTACAAAACTTCAAGTTTCCGACTATAACGATTACTTGAGCTATTACAAGGAACAAAAGATCGCTGGTATGAATTGGGAAATTAAAGCCAAAGAAGTTATTGGTGCAGAGACTGTTCACTATCCACAATTGGAAGCTTTGTCTCAACAAGCTCAGGCTGCGTCGCTACCTGTATCACAAGAAACATTGGCTAAGGTTGATCAAATCCTGAACAAGCATCGAGAAGTTCATAAACAGATCGTTTCGCTATATGACCGTTGTAGGGATCCCGATTTCATGAAACGTCCTGCCTATGCAGAGGTCGCTCTTCTTCAAAAGGAACTCCAAGGATTGGGCAGTAAACCAAGCGGTACTCTTGATTTGGAAAAAGAAATCAAGCGACATGAGGATTGGATGCGAGAAGGGAAGAAATTATTCGGCAAGGCAAATGCCCCTCTACATATTCTCAAACAACATATGGAGTATGTTATGGAACGAAATGTGGATTGCTTCGATATCAGTCAGGATAAACCACGACTCCCGGCTGAACCATTATCTCGCGAACCTTCTCCTTCAAACGAAAAATTACACAGTTGGGAAGATCCAAGATTTCGGGAGGTATTCTGTATTTGTCGAAGGATTGAAGCCGGTATGATGATTGAGTGTGAGCTTTGTCATGAATGGTCAGTTATTCGTCTCTTTTCCCTGGAGTCTTGCTAATTAATAATAGGTACCATGGCAAATGCTTAAAGATTGCTCGTGGTAAAGTTAAGGATGATGATAAATATACTTGTCCCATATGTGATTGGCGTGTAAAGATTCCTCGCGATGCGGCTAGACCAAAGCTCGAAGATCTACAAACATGGCAAGATAAGATTCCGTCATTACCATTCCAGCCAGATGAAGAGGCTATCCTCGAATCAATCATAAACAATGCTCAGGAATTCCGAAATCATATTGCACCCTATTGCAATCCAGTCATGTCAACAGCAGACGAATCTGAAACCCAACGATTCTATTTACGAAAGATTGAAGGTTCAGAAATCTTACTTGCCTATGAAACCAACTTCTTTAGGCAAGAACTTCACAAATGGTCACCAGTCGCGCCAGATCCTCCGCCAGTACTTGAATCTTCGAAATCAACACGAAAGCCTAGACCAACAAAACTTCAAAAGTTGATGGCACAGCATGGTGTTAATGACCCCGAAGCTTTGCCACAAAATTTGAGAACCAAACCTCATAACTTCAAAAGGAAGAGTAGTGAGCCTAGTGGAAGTCGACCAATGCCTTTGCAACCTGCTCCAGGAAGATCGCAGCCTGGAACCCCTACTACTCATAGTTTTGGAACTAGTTCTGGCCCAAGCATGGCAAGTATGGGTTCACATGGTCCGATTCTGAGTGGTCTCCCAAGTGCTCATGATCATGCGCATCCTTATGCATCTTATGGCCACGATCCGTATACCAGCATGGCGGCTTCGGCAAATCCATCTCCAGCTTTCGCACCACATGCTTATCTGAATGCAAATGGTACCCCTACATTCGGACATGCATCTCCTCAACAACCAAATATTTTCAGTGAGGCAGGATTGTCAAGGATGGATCCTTCTGTTTCACTCCATAGTCCAATGAGAGATAACTTTGTGATGGGCGTTAGTAATGTTGGTCACACTCCTCTAGGTGTTACTGCTGGCGAAGACAAACTTTTGGGAGATAGGATGTTTGAACAACTTACGAATGTCAGTGGAGACGAGGAGCCGATCGGGAATAAAGAGTCAACATCGATTGATAGGAAACCAATAGATGATGATAAAGATTCAGCCGACGCGACTAAATGGGACGTGGAAAATAATAATATCGAGTTATTCTTCGATGCACCTTGATTAGTGCAATGGTTGGTCATTTGCGGCATTTGCAATCACAAAAGGTCATATATGATTTATGACTAGCGAAGGAAAACATAGAAATGGCATCGGGGGCCGGCTGGTAGCATACATACGGTGTTTACTCCCGTGGGATGGTTACTTTATGGATTCAAGGCGTTTTTCATGGGATCGGGTTCCAAATTCCGACTTTCCTTACGATGTATTATTTAACGACTGATTTCTGGTCTTCTCGTCTCATGCATGAATTAATGGATCAAGTGTCGAAATGGCTTCGGTTTGGGTTTGTCATTGTGTCTAGGTTTCGGTACGCGTCCAAGTTTACACAATACAGAGATAGATGATGATTGAGGTAATTGCATACATACATTTGGGTTTATATTTACAATGCAATGGGCGGATTTATGGTGGGGAATTGCTATCTTTGCTTTGCTTTTTTTGGTGGGTGGTACTGTGTGAGGCGAAAATGGGCATGCGGGAACGGGTCGAATTTTGAGGGGGAGCATTTTTGGGTTAACAGCGATAGCTCGCTTTGGCTGGCTAGATGTATAGCTAAAAAGTGGGTGGCTTTTTATGACGCGTAGAGAGAGAGCGGTATGATGATTATCTTCGCAATAGAGTGGTATAATACAACATAAAAGAATACCTGTACCGATGCAGTGAATAAAAACTTCAGAAATATACTATATACTCTCGCCTTTCCTCGATCAGGATATCTACACAAAGCTCGTTCAAACATGTGGTTATGCCTCGCAATCTATGGAAGCATTGAATACATTGATTCCTCTTTAGATCAGAGGTTCGTTTGAATAAAGAAAATGGAACAAAATTCACATTGCAAATGCATGTGCTTCACTCCAACCATTGGCATACATCTGGAGCAAACTCAAAAATTAAAAAAAGTGGCTAGAAAATAGCTATGCTTCGAGAGAGCAAAAAAATCCTGTAATTGCAGACAAAATACGGAAAACAAAATGCAGAAATCTTAGACCCACAACCTATCTGTCAATTCATCGCCCAAAAACTTCTAAACCTCCTCTTGTCCAACATCTGAGTAGATAAGCCCGAATTATTGTACAATTTTTCCGAACTATCAGAGAGGTTTCTTGTAAGATCTGGCTATAAAAAGTCATGATGACTCCTAAGAACACGGTGGGCAACTCTTCAACCAATCTTTGATAGGCTGAGAAGCATAATCGAGAAACTTATGGCCCCAGGCATCTTGGGCACATACTATTTTTATATTAGTGTCCATTCCAATTCGTTTATATGCCGTTTATTTACTAGGCTGCTGCTTCCATCACGCACTTCTCTATCATCTTCGGCTATAATTTGGAGAGGGACAAGAGGAAATCTACTCACGGCAATCACAAGGAGGATCCTTATGCATGTTATCACTCTGTTTCCAATTGTAACCTTTCAATTCACAGACGGGCAAGGTGAAAAATCCAGCGGTGGAATATGCTTTGTTAGCATCATTGTTGCCGACGAATTCATGTGCGATGTTGTTCATGTGCCAGGTGATGTCTTTGTAGGCGTCGAGGCCATGTCCGGTGTACATGTTGTAGGTGCTGGCGTAGAGTTGTTGGAGTTCTGAAAGAGAGTTAGTGGGGAGTCTTGAGCAGAATGGCATGTGGGAGACGAACGAATATTGAATCCTCCAATAGAAGCCACCTTCCCATTATCAATACCCGTCGGAGCAGAAAACTTGGAGTTGTTGTCCACGCCTGCTAAAATCATCATACCCTTTTCGCCGCAAAATCTTCTGGGATCACCAGCATTCTTTCCACCGGTATTACCGTGCCATCCCGAACAATCTTTGACGACATCTGGGATGTAGATGAAAAACGCATTTTGCGCTTCCCAGTATGCTTGTAGAAGCTTGATAGCTGCATAGCGGGAGAAAAGTCCGTCGAGACCATTCTCGCCACCAACATAAGCTTGTAAGACTTCATCGCCGGCGAATGCACCGCCTGTGAGGAGATCTTTCAACTAGATGACAAAGTTAGTTAGATAGTTAATTCTTCGCACAGGAAGCAAAGCATGCAAGAAATAAGAACAACATACAGTCCCCACACTATTCCCATTCACCTGTCCATTCGAGAACGTTCCGTTGTGAGAAAATTCCAGCGAGCTCAACGCCAATTGTTTCATCACCGGTAAGTAATCCGAAAATTCCAACACGCTCAATTCATCAGATTCCTTGCTATCTTGAATATCATTCGCGATTGTGCCGGCTAAACTGGCTGTTCCGGCGGCAATACCGGTACCAATTGTGAGCATACCGGCGGTGATCTGTGTACCAAGTACCGGGAGAGTAAATGCGAGGGCTCCGGGTACCCAGCAAGTTCCGATTACAGCTGCGACGGCAAGACCGCCGGAGATAACCGTCACTGCGTTTTTGGCACCGATTTTTGCACCAGGAGTGGTAGGAGCGAAGTTCTAGATGATGCTGTTAATATTCTCTTCTTTTCATTGTGAAGAAATGATTTCGAAAAACGTACAGATTGAAAATCCGCACTCGTCTGCGTGAGCGTATCAAGCGAATTACTCATGACTTTTTCCCATTGCAGATACATCTGCTGCACATTCATCATCGCTTTAATTCCCAACCAACCCTGTTCCTTTCTGCAGGCGTTCCGCTCAGCGCGCTGCAGCTGGCGGGGGTAGTGTCGCAGTTATCGAAACTGTTGGGACAGTAGAAATCTACATTGTAGCGGTTCCCAAATGTTTGGTGGAAATCGAAATTGGGATCGCTCATTCCGGTTGAGAATATGTCGCTGATCAGTTGGTCCATGTTGTGGGATGTCCATGTGTCGCGGTTGAGAGTGATGGGGCCATTGCCGCAGTTGTCGGCGGCGCCGCCGCCGTTGTTGGGCTGGATGGCAAAGATTCCGGGGTTGAAGTTGGAGGGGATGGGAGCAAGTGCTTCGCGGACTTTGACGGGGGCGGGAGAAGCGGTGGTTGTGAGGACTTGGGTGATGAGGAGACTGAAGACGGCTTGGGATTTGGAAGAATGCATTTTGGAGTGAAGGGAAGAAAAGAGGAAAGAAAGATTTTGGAGAATGAGGGAGAGATGAAAATTGAAAGAATGTGTTTTCAACCAAGTAAATAAGAAAGAGAAAAGGAATAGAAAAGTTGATTGGAAAAACACCAAAGAAATAAAAGGGTATAGATATGCGTTCTGTGAAGTAAGGAATGAAATTGATAGCAGATCAAGAACCTTTTATATCCTCAAGAGTTCCAGTTTCTTTGATGAAGACTTGCCAGAATCCAAGATGCCAAGATCATTACTCACAAGAAGGATTTGAAACTTCAGCCAAAAATTTACCAAAAACGTCGAAAGTTTGCATTTGGCTAAAATACATCATATACATGATGCTAACCTTGACTGGCGTTAGTAGCCCTAACAATTTCTAAAGCGCCATCTCTGATGTTCTACACATGTAGAGCGTTCATAGCCCAGCTAAGAGACAAGCCAAGCGCTTATATCGAGATATTAGATGATGATGTGATAGAATGCTGAGAGGCTGATGATCGGATAGGCTGTTCAATTGTTTTTGCGATTCTGTATTTTCTTTCTTTAGAGTTATTCTACGACTTGGGGTCTGCGAATGAGGAGACAATCTCTACAACCACTTGAAATGGTTAGCGAAATGATAGGCTATCCAAATCATCAGCTCGTTGAATTGGGATGATAATGTGATCGATATGTAGTAAGCTTATGCCAAGTTCTCCCCCAAATGTATTTGCGTTGCGGCTCAGCCTTCAGTATTGATGATTAAGTGTGAGCCAAGAGCGCCGTCATGTCGCCAAGAGAGTACAATGAGTGATGGGATGGATTACTGCTCATGAATTTAAGCTTAAAATATCAGATCAATGCAGGTACTATTTTGGAGGAGGATTTACGAAGCCCCTCAATTCGCTAGTCCAATTGGCCTTGTTTATTATCACCAACTGGCTACCTAGAGCCCGACAATTGCTTATTTGGGCCCATAAAATCATTTCCGTTTCGAGTTCTTTTTTGAAGGGCAAACATGTACTTTGCCTTTGAACGGGTGAATGTTCGTCCGTCGAAAAAAATATTCTTATACTTAGGTACGTGGTGATGACATCGTAACAATTGAATCTCATTCAGGACTCAGGAGAAGCGGGAAATGTATACAGTGTATATTTGACAATGACTCTTAAATTTTCATGACTGGGATAGTTTTTGGAAATTCATCTGCCAGGGTAACAAGCTTGTTTGGTGTCAAGACTTTTTGTAAAGCTTGTCTCTGATTCACCAAGAACTGAAGATATCTCAATGAGTGGTCTCAGCAGTTAAGAAAATGTATCAACCAAAAAAAAATGTAAAAATTAAGAAAATTGATGGCCCAGTTGTACCTTGCCATCGATTTAGAGATGTAGCGACTGATCAGCTCTAGTAATGTTGAATACTACCTCGCCGTCTCGTACCATGGTAGTAATGACGATCTTGAGCTCATGTCTTGGCATCTGAATCCAAGAGAGTTCCTATTGTCGTACGAAGGAAACAATACATATGGAACTCATGACAGTTCAAATGGACATCCTCCTGATATCACGAGACCGGCTGGAGAGATATTCTGTTGCAACGATGCCAGATGTAACCCCACGATTTAAACCAAGAAAGACACATAAACTATATTGAAATTTTACCCCGGACGTAGACTGACTATTTATGACTAGAAAATGATCGTGAGAGATTCTCATGCAGTAGCGAGTGAAGTATAGAGCATGAGTGTGTCTTCCCCATGTCTTTAATCAAGGAGGGCAGTCTAAGAACCCTGATCCCAAGTGAAGTGGCTCAGGGATTTTGTAGAAAACCCAAGAGAAATAACAAGCACGTACTCTGGTAACAGGAGTCTATTTCCTGCTTCATTCTCAACCATCGACATAATGACTCAAATTGCCAGAACGTCGTCGATATCTACCGTAGAATGGACGCGAGATGAATCAAACTTTAGATTCTGCCGGGACTGTTGAGCTCAGTGGTTGGTTCGCAAGCGCGAACCAGGGGCAAGATCTTGGAATGTTCAATGGATCTGTGATCATTAATGCAACAAAGGAATAGCCCATATATGATCAGAGACAATTTGAAAGAAGAAACAATAATTGGAAGAGGCCATCATCAGAATAGAAGGACCACGTGTTGACCAACACATCGCGAATTGAATTTATAAATAAAAGTTGAGAATGTAAATGTCTGGAAGATAATACATGCATAAAAAGGGAATGTAAGGCCAGGCTTGAAAGATGTATAAGAGTAACCTACTCATAAGGCGACGAAATGCAATTACACATTGAATAAGATGAAAATGGAATGTGGATTTCTTCATGTCAATCAAACATGGAGTATCCAGACTGAAGTGATCTTACTCACCCTCGAAATGGAAGTGACAGAATGTGGGTAAAACCCTCTCCCTCTATCCTTGTGCTTGAAATTTCCTCGATGAATGAAAAGAATACCACGAGTCAACTTGCAAAAATGAGATGTGCAACAAACGCCTTCTATATTGTCAAGATATATTGAAGCCTCCACTGCAAACAAGAGAGCGAGTCAATATCAAAAATTGAGACATGCAACAAACATTGAAAATATACAAGAGTCTTGACCAGAAAGAACTGCGAGTCAACATTCAATATTTCAGACATGCAACAAACATTCAGAACCCACGAAAGTCTCCACCAGAAAGACCTACGAGTCAACATTCAAAATTGCAGATATGCAACGAAACCAAGGTTCCATCTGACGGTTCGAATACGAAGAGGTCAGAAGGAGATTATACCCACAATGAAAGGTACGAGTCAATGTTCAGGTATGCAACAAAGGGTCTTTTTCCCTGCTGCGCTTCTAGAGGTCGGGGATGTCCGCAATGTTTCCACAATTTAGAGAAAGAACTCGGGGTAAGATGGCGCGAGTACAAATACCCACCGATGTGTACAAAGCTCAGCGAGGCGTGCATTCTCACCACGACTCAGACTCAGTTGTTAGACGTGCAACAAAATGATTTCATGGACGGATGAACCAATACAATGCCTTCTGCGGCGCAAAACTTTAATACTGTGAAAGGAACTCCGTTGTGTTGGATTAGAGGTGGAGTTAAAATGGTACGACAATTTGTGCCCTTGAGTCAGTCGTAAATGTGCAGTCGGCGGTCTCCGCCACGGCGTTTGTAATGGGATCTTAATTTAGAATGCATGGCCAACGGGTATGACCCGCATAATTGACAGGCATGACGCAAAGATGAGATGTGCAACAATTATGCATAATATAGATATATATTGAATACTCTGTCTCTTTGAGATCTGGTGAGAGTTGATGAGAGGAAATTCTGAGCGATAGACATGCAACAAATATTGCATGAATTCATGCTGTCACGGATGCATGTCCATTTACGATTTGACATTCCACAAGAAGAAGCATGTCCGAGAAGGGGTGAACCCGATGTGGCAGAAATGAGCGAGACTAGCTGCCACGTCTTCCTTTGGAAATTGTTAGTGAGTAGAGCTGACTAGCCACCACGCAAAACTGTATTGACTACAAGATTATCACAACTGCCACGAGTCGTGGTACGAGAGGAAAACCTTTTTGAGGCCCCACTACCTTAGATAAACGCTTGGATGGACCTACCCATGAAAAGGAACGAGGAAAAAATTCCAATGTTATTGAGGCTCTTACACTTTAGCATATGTGCGTCGCCAACGTTCGCCAACCCAACGGTCAGCTGGACCAAATCCGAGATCATAGAACACGATGGCCTTGTTCTCTAAATCACTGCTTGACTTTGTTGCATATCTAGAACGGAGACGGGCATACTTTCCGAACTTGTCAGTATTCCCGTGGATTCTGGAAGACCGATATTGTAGGTGAGTGGTTGGAAATAATTCATGGAGGATCGCCGAGATGTGATATTTTCGACAATTAGCGGCTGAGCTGTAAAACCTGGGGAGGCTTACGATCAACTACTGTAGCCGAGCCATATCCAAACAAGGCTGAGATGTGAGATCGTCGTGATAGAACATATTTCTTTTCAGAGGTTCAGTGCTTGGTTCTAGTTTGCTGTCATGTTCCCTAAGTCCGATTCTAGATGGTCATAGTCTCATAGATGACCTCAAAGCTTCTTTTCTTCAGCCGGTTTCACACCCGTTTGTCCATACACAAACCAAATTGCCAGGCATCATCCTTGGGTATCTGGGAAATGATCACAATTATGCTTTTGATGGGAGAGGTAGATGACTCGCGCGTGTCTGTGACTAGTGGGAACCTTAATTGTCAGATTTTGGCTCTCGAGCTTCGTGGGTGTTGAACCGATATCATAATCTCACGATAATAGCTTCTGCAATCCACAATGAATAAGAACGAAACTCGTTTCTCCGTCCGTTATACAAAAGTCATTTCAACTGATCGAGGTACATGATCAAGTTCAATGTTCAGGATTGTTGTTTCAATTTGCTGAGGGTGGTCTTAGTCATCCAAACGTTAGTAAGCACGCTTATGTTCATCCCATAGGAAGTTTCATTCAACCACACAACAAATTGACAACCATTACCACAACAGTACCATAATGCGACAGTCCAACAGTAAGAAAGAAGGATAGAATTGTTGCGTATCTCAATTCTCAACATTCCAGCTCGGTCAACAAGTTTTATATTGCTACATCCACTAGCTACTCGGGTCTCAGATTTCACGCCATAATTCTTCCTGAATGGCATTGATATTCAAGAGCGGCTGTCAATGTTGCACGTCTCAATTCTCAACATAACGCTTCGCTACTCAACCCCAAAATGGCCTTGAGAATTGACTAACTAGAGCTGAGGTCAGGGCAGATAACCCTTTCTACGCTCCTTTCTATTACAATGCAACGACAAAAAAGATCTCTTTCTGAATTCATTCGAAACAGTGATCATTTCATTTGACAAAATCAAAACATACACAAAAATTCACAACTACTCCAGCGTTGAACACATTCTCATTTTCGGTACTGTTTCGACTCTTCATGTGTCCTGGTTTCAGTTGGACTCCCGAATTTTGAGGTATTACAAACACGAAAATGGCCAAAGACCCAAGATGCCTATTCAGCTTGATAGAGGCAGCTTATGATGTACCGAAAAAGATCAAAATGTTGCATATCTCAACATCTGGGCATTTTCAGATCTACACTTGGCAATGATTCAGAGCTCCAGTTACCAACACAAGCATGCCCGCATGTCTTACATGACCATTCGGAGGACGAAATTGGACCCAGCCGAATTTGTACACTTCTCGTACTCCTTATTGCAGCTACAACTACCCACAATTAGACAATGAACGTCACAGAAGATTATTTTTGTTGCATATCGAATTATTTGCCAAGGGTGAATAGGGGCAATTGACAAGAATGGAATAAAGTAAAGGGAGCCAATACGTCACATTCATCCCCAAGGTAACCACCCCTCAGTGATTCAGATTCGGGTGCTCGGGAATTATTACCTCGATTTTCGTTGAGGTGAAATCACATGTCAACTCTTCAAGATATCTTGATATGCCCCAACCTCTTATCATTTGAGTTAGTCTCTCATGGCATGAGGGGATTCTCGATTGGAAACATGTGGAGGTAGTTTCTGGATCTACACATATCCTCTGCCTGCTTCGTTCTTACGTACCCTCACCAGCACCAGCACCGGCAGCATAAAATCCAGAATTCTCGGAACATTCAGCACCTCAACCAAATTACCCCACTGGTATCGGATCTTCTCGCTCGCTTTCCCCTTACTATCAGCACTTGCGTAGCTTTCGATCTCAAAGATTGTGCCTGAAAGTCTCCATCGGGCTTATGCACTACTTTCGATTGTGAATGCCTCGCTTGTTTGTTTTCTCGAATCAGAATTTACACGTTACTTCCTACTTTAATCTTTAATATAGATCATCCTAATTTTGTTGCACATCTCAGTTTCCATGGAAGTAATGAGATTTTCCATTGCTTCTTTCATTTTTCCATCTTCCGGTGTGAGTGGTCATTGCATTTTTGAGTTTTGAGTTTAGGGTTAGGGTGCCACATCATAGCACGTGTACTTCATTAACACGTCGACGATCAGGTGCACGACCCGGTTGATTGGTAGATTTAAAGGGAAGACTAATTTGTTGCAAATCTTAAGGTTACCCAAGAATTTAAGGTTTGCTGATCGCAAACATTAATTGATGGAATACGGACGTGATGAAGTTCTCCGACCGTCGTTGGTACGGAATAATCTGATTGTTCCACAGATCAGTGAAGTATCACGGTATGAATATCAAACCACCAAGATTTGTTCACCACAATACTCTGTACGTTCGAAACAATTGACAAGTTCGGAAATTCTCGACTGTAGTCAGTGTCTTATAGACCTGTCCGATCAATTCATCAAATTCTTACGCCAGGGATATCATTGTGGTTAATTGTCAGATTAGCCGAACCATTCAATCAATCCCCCCTTCATTTGAACTGGAAAGACTAGATTCATCCACCTCATCAGAAATCCTTTGAAATCTTTCCATTGCCTTTGTTGCAAGTCTTATAACCCATGGCAACTTCATGATCCACTCATTTACCAAGGTGACCCCTGTCTTTGGATGATGAGTGGGAGTTCGTCTGCGCATTTAAACCAGATATTCGGGACGTTATTGTGCAAAGGCATGGCGATATCCTTACAAATCATGGGGGCTTTTATTCGGAGAAGTTCTAGGACCTCTGTAAGTCATTGCTTGTTATATGATGAAGGCATCAAATCTGGCAGGTACTTAGCCTTCTTTCCAACCCAATGGGTACTTTATCGTAGGCTCCTGAATTTTGATTCATGCATTGTGAACCATCAAACATTTTTCATATGTAATAACGCGGTACATTTTCTTCTAGCTACTAGTATCGGAGGGATCGCGGACGCTACATTCAAATTATGATTCAAATCACTGGTTTTGATTACAGTGGTCAGGAACCATAACTTCGCTTTCAACTTGATTGCAGCGGTTAAGTGTAAGTGGCTCACATCTTTTCTATTAAAAAAATCAGAAGCTCAAGTACTGCCTCCCTCAAGATGTTCGAAGTTCTCCCACTTTTCAATGTACTGGACTGTTGATAGAAACCCCATGGCAAGATCTAAAAACCCCGATTGATAAAGTGAGCCAAAGTAATAGTAATGCTGCCCATTGACTTTCCACGACTTCGGTGTGTTCGTGCAGATAGTGAAAAGCCTATCACTGACAATTTCAGTATTCTGGATGAGCGGGGAAGAGTCTATTGCATCAACAACGGCTTTAGTTTCCCCAAATATGACCAGCATGTGCAGTGCTATTGTGTTCTATGACATTCACCTCTCAAATCAACTTCACTTGCTGGTCAAATGTACCAATAACACATCTTACATCTTATCATTCGCCTGTTTTCTAAAGTGGATGCTAGTGAATGAAATGTATTTAATTTCTGCCGAACGGCTGAAAGATACTCACTGGTACCGCCACGACAGCATGTGTTTGCGGTGAAAATATCCCTTGTAGTACGAAGGATTGGCCATATATATCTAAATATTACGAGTCGTCAGAAGAAGACGAAATTCTGTCTTGGTGCTTCTCAGTCGGTGGAATCTTGGCTTCATGACTGCCCTGCCTAGTTTGGATACTTTTGTATATACAAACCTCCATATATGACTACGAGTTCGCTCCCTTTGTTCCCATAGTTGTAAGAAGGAGCGCATGGAACGAGGTCTTTCACTGATTTAAACTGGCGGACGAAAAGACCCCGTCCTCCCAGACCTGCCGAGCTCTCTTACCACATGTCATTGATACATTAACGAGAATCGTTTTCAAGCATTCAATCGATCGTTTTTTTTTCTCTCCAATAACCAGCGGATACACACCGAAGATTGATTAGATCAGCAAAATGCGAGACCTAAATTTGCTTAAGAGTTCCATGCATTGAAAAAGCACCAGAGAAGCATCGCTGATCCTCAAAGAATACGCGACGGGGCAACATTGTTGTGAACGTTTGTCAAATTAACATTCATATAATCATTGAAAAAGTAATTTCATACTTTGGTCTGTTAGATGACAGATGTGCATCCAATGGACACCGATTCAAACTGGCAGTCTCTCCCCCGAGAACGCCGGACAACAATGCTCTAGAGAAAGCGATACTGAACGTAGAAATTCACAAGAATGACATCGAGAAGCCTCGAAAATTTGGACGAAGTCTACGGAGATACACAATTTTAAGGTGTCGATTGAAATCTCTATCTAAGACAACGAGATCGACTCCTCGCATTCTATCCTCTTCCTGAAAAATTGCGGCTATCAAGCTCTCTCGGTCTAGATGCATGAGCTTAAGTATTCTAGACGTAGTATCGACCTAACCACTACTACTGTATTGTCGATCTTGATGAGAGTTTTTGAAAGTATCTTAAACAAGAGATCTCCCTTTTTTTATCGTTCGCTTGATCTCTTTTCTCACACCCAAGGCAGATTTACTTCTTTCCGTCATGTGTTTGAAATCAGTTTATTCACCTCAGGATTTCCAATAAATTATCACTGTAGGCTACGAAAATCACTTCAAAATAGACCCAGACTGCAAGCCCAGAATCTCCTCGCACGCCTCAACACTTGCTTGAATCCAAATTCTACTTTTTAGATCCCCTCCATATTCTCCTGTCACCCCCGTATCTCTATCAGACCTTTGTCCGATTCATATTTGTGGAAGGGCTGTCTATTGATATCTCTTACCACTCCACAACCTGTAATATCTTATTTCATAAATTCAAAACCCAAGAATCTTCGGACGTCTTGAAAGCTCACCAGAATCCCATCAATGCCAATCTCATTACAAACCAAAACCTCGGCATCCTCACCATTTAAGTACTTGTCTGGGGTGCTCTTCTACGCTTGTGGGTAGAGGAAGAACGTATATAAGCTGCTTATGCGTCATAGATACTGTGAATCCAGACACCTGTGTGCACTCAAAATTTAGCTGCTATCGATTCACTCGCTTTCTAAACATAGAACATCGCTGGATACCCAATACTCGTTCGAGAAGGGCGTTGATCTCAGAAGCCGATTTCGTGATATATTCCACAATTTCATTAACCTGATTGAAATAAGTCTAGTAGCAACAAGCATAAAAATTAATATGTAAAGCCATAATAAAAACCGATATAATATGCTATTAAGCTAAAAATGCATGCTACGATCTATCTATGTACTATATATGTGACTTGGGACGATGTTAAATCCTTCCGCTCACTCATCCCCTCAATAGTGCTCCTTAGTATGTGCACAGCTTGTATCATGACGCATTCTTATGTAGTACCGATCCTCAATCTTACACCATTCCATACTATCTCGTATCCGAGTAGCCTTCTCAAATAATCAATTAAAAAAAACAAAAATGTCTACCATCCTTTACCTCCGGCAATCTCCTCGTCAACACTTTCCCACCCTGCAAAAACACCCTCAATCATCTTAGCCCCCAATCCTGGATCCTTAGATCCTGTAGTTGCTCTGATACTGTGCATACTAAGTTGGGGGATTCCGACATCAATAGCTCTAACGCCCATTGCAGAACTCAACATCGGTCCTACTGTACCTCCCGATCTAGAATCATTTCTGATCATAAAAGTTTGCAACTTTTGTCCACATTTCTCCGCCAATCTCTGGAAAATGGCGGTTGAGACAGAATCCGTAGTAGTATGACCATTACTATCTGCTTCAACTGTCAATCCTACATTTAGTCTAGGACAATGATTCTCGAGGTATTTTTCCAGGAAATTAGGATTTGTAGCATGTGTAACATCGAAGGAGACGAGGAAAGACTTGGCATACGTTTCCATCAGAATATTGGGGCTGTATGTGGAATGATTGAAGCACTCCACGACACGTTCAATTGTTCCGGGGAGGAAATTACCCCTTGCACCCTGACGCAAGAGCGAGCCAATCTCTTCGTCATCGAAAAGAGCAACCATGGAAATGATACCAGATGATTTGGAATCTTCAGAGGAAGAGTTGGAGAGTAGTGCCTCAATGGAAGACCAGGAACAAACTTTATCATCAATACGTCCTGAGAAGATGAATTCCTTGTCGAGCCCACCGAGTTGAGAGGGCTGGGTATCGAAGAGTTCGAGTTCCCAGTTGATGATGGTTTCTTTATTTTCAATGCCCAATTCTTTGGCAATAAGATTGACAAGTTTTGGTGGTTGGGTGGAGACAAATGTAGATTTTGCACCGGATATGTTTGATGTTTGAAATTGCTCGGATGATGATGAGGATGAAGCCGAAGATTCAATATCGGAATTGTCGAGACCAATGATTGGTACGAGTTGGGTTTCCTTATTGTTCTGACCAAACATTCCAACACCAAAATGGGGAGCTAGAGTTGGAATGCGTGCAATTGGCCAACCCAGTTTTACCAATTTTTGAGAAATGTATCCAGTTTTCTCATCTTTGACCAAAACTCTACCACCAATACCAAGATCTCTATCCCACCATGTTTCATTCAATGCGCCAGCATAAGGAGCAACTCCGAGCTGTACAAATCCAGCTTTATTGTGTTTGGTACTGATGGGCTTTAGGCGAGCTGTGAGAGAATCAGAGTGTGCGGCAACCATTGCTATTCCATTTCCAGATTTGTATGCACCACCAACGGAAAATGCAATCAAGGATGTTCCGTTGCGGTTCACGTAGTATTTTCCGTTGGGCTCAAGCTTGCCATTCCATGAATCACGCGGAGAGAGCTATTAACAAGATATCATTAGCGTTGTGCTTCTTGAATTCGAGGGTGCGTTTGAATTCAACTGTGAAGAATCGGAATGATTGAGAGTTGCACTAACCTTAGTAAACCCAGCGTCCTCCAACTTGTTCTCCCAATACTCAATAGCATGCCAAACTGTTGGGTTCTCCGTCATGAAGTTAATGAACGGTTCTGCATATTCTTCGGGATCTTTGAGAATGGTCGCATGCTTCGTGGAATTGGGCGCCTTGGTATCTAAATTGCGAGGAATAAGAGAATCATTGGGTGAGTGGAATGCTTCGAACAAAGTTTGTGCACCACTCGTAGCATTAATTTCCGTCTCGGCGGATGGGAATTGGTAAGATTTTCTCATCTTCTCGAAGAGTGTTTCAATCTTCTCCTGTTCTAAGCGCGCTTCTGAGTCGATGGAACCTGGAGGGCCCCATGAATCACCCCCAAGGGAACGAATCGGTAGACTTTCACGGGCTGTGAAAGACTCCTTATTATTCGGGTCGGTAGGTTTAGAGACCGCCAATTTCATTTTGGCAAATTCCCCCATCAACAGCTCCTGGGTAAGCTTCTCGTCAGAAGCAATCTGTTTCTCCATGGCAGCTTTGTGAAGAGAGGCGGTTGACGGCTTGTTCCTAACCATTGTGTTGTTGTTACTGGGAGATTGGTCTACCTTGATGTCTGCGGTTTCAACGGTAAATAAAGATAGAGGGAGCGATTGCCAATATAGTGAGTGGAGAGCGGTAGTGAATCTGAGTAGGCAGATGTCGTTAATGTGAGTTATGATTTGATGGGAGTGATGCAATTGATGGAAGATTGATTGTGAATGGAGTATCAATACCTACCTAATACATAGATTCCGAACAGTAACTATGATACCTATGAGAGTTGAAAGTCAATTGAAGGCAAAGATGGGATGTTGTGATTATTGTACTCGATTGTCTATTGTTGTCTTAGATGTACAGCCTCTCCAATATTGAGCTACACCGATACCGATACCTAGTCTTGGCGATAGCCTTAATCCACATCGCCAAGTATGCACTGTACCTGAACCAAGAGATAAGATCTCACAATGGAGACATGTACCCTCCAACGTCAACGTCAAGTCAATAATAGGTTTACCACCGGATTGTAACTAGTATATCTTCACATCAATGATCATCGATCCATCACAAGTTGATGAGTGTTTGGTAACTGGAAAGCACAAGAAAAAAACAACGTTGTTGGTCAAAATCCTTTTTATTTCGATTGAGACTATCTTTCGTGGAGAACCTAAGCTTCTGCCAGGCGGTATCATCCATCATAAAAAGCCATGCATGCTATATATATATATAAAATTCGTCATCATCGGCAATCCCCTAATTGAGACAAAGAAATCCCATCAATTCATTATACTGTCATTTCTGATATCCTCGATCGATTCCGTGCTCTCAATTGTTGATTTACCAGTTGTTGTCATAGTTGTTGAAGTGCTCTGGGGGACCACGTTGGTTGCTGTAAGAAAGGGCATGTTAGTAAAAGGGTAACAACAAAAGCAAAAAAGAGATAACATACGGGTCGTATTGATCATCCTGGCCATAATGTTGATCGTACAAGTGTTTGGCTTGTTCCTCTGACCTTTCTCTCATTCGGTGCTCACGGATCCAGTCCTCACCCTTGGTCTCAGCCAACTTGTCGACTTCAGCGGAGGCGAAACCGGCGAGAAGCTCCTTAGCAAAAGCGTGGGAGACTGGCTTTCCTATGGAACGTATTCGAGTCAGTACATTGATTTGAGTCGAGGTTGAGAAGTGAGGCTTCAAACATACCCTCCTTGCGTTGTCTGTCCTCGAACATCTTCATGGCGGCGAAACCAGCACCTCCTGCGAGAACCTCATGACCGAGACTGGCAGTGTCTTCGCTTTGGTATTGGTCGTAGTGTTCTTGAGATTCGCCTAAATGGAATCGTATGTTAGTATGAGCTTCATCTTGTATGGAGTGTCAGAGTGAAGGTGGAAGACGTACCCCAGCCGAAAACCATTTTGATAGATTTATGTGGTAAAAGTTAAAAAGTTTGAAGAGTGTGGTATGTAGTTGTAGATTGAAGTGATGTAGAGATGTAGAATTGTAGTTGTTGATGAGAAAAGAAGAGGAGAAATGTTGCGGAGGGGAGATATGAGGGGTTTAAATAGATGGAAGTGTTACCGTCGAACCCTCACCCCTCTTTGACTATGCCTTTACGGATTTCATACATTCACACCCGCCTACCAGTTACCTAGTACTTCTTAACCAAATAGAGTAGTATATGATTCACCGTGTTATTCCATTAAGTATCAAGCCCCGCTTATAGGTAACATGAATGAGTGTATCGTACTCAAGTAGGTACAGAATGTGGATTCTAACCAAAGTTGTACGGAGTAGACATTCAAGGAGAATATCTTGGATGGGGCCATGCAGCTTCCCCCTTTATTGTCTATGGTCACGGTGATTCCTAGTCATCGTAACTCGTAACTCATACCTCGTACTTCATACCTCATCTTGCTTGATCTTGTTTTCGATGGCAACAACTTTTCAGGGTATCATATTGAACCCCACATTGCATGAAACTAATACTCAACCCACAATCTACCGGGCACTCATAGACAAGTGTCAAGTTCTTCCAATAGTCTAGCACCTAGTATTTACACGACTTGCGTGGCTTGTAAAAGAATGTGATGGAATCATTATATAAAAAGCTTGTTTGGGAAGGACTGGTTTGCTACGAGAGCCGGCCAGCCGTGGACACTGATGAATGGATGGATGAATGGATGGATGGATGGATTAACATGCCGTTGTTTCGGTGGGATGGCAGTGGCAGTGGCAGTGGCAGTGAGATGATCATCCTTCCCTAGGTAAGGTTATACCCAAATCTGGAATGCAATGCTGAATGCAATGCTCCCTATCCCTCTTTGCTCTGTATATCTATCTGCGTCAAGTATGTATCATTTGTCTTTCTGAATACTGGGTAGCTATCAATGCATGTCATGAAATCTACTTTGTTTGAGTGGAAAACGGAATGATATGGTAGCACATTCTAGAGTCTACGATACATCACCTTACAGGTTACTATATAAAGGAATAAGTCCTCGTACTCGTGGCAGCAAGGGTAAAGCTCCCATTGCATTTGTACAACACAGCTATTGAGGGGCAAAGTTAAAACATAAAGCATGAAATGTGCGGTTCCGAGACTCTCAGACCCCCTCCATGATCACTAGTAACTACATTACCCAGCATCTACGATACGAGTATGATGATATAGTGAGTACCTATGACATCAAAGCTTCTCTATCTCTTACGATACAATCAAAATTCAGGAGAATCCCTTCACCGGTAGTCGTAAGTAATTCGATCTACTAGGTATTCCGTACGAGTATATCTCAAACGGAACTTACTGATCACACCACCTACATCTCTCTGGGTCTTGACTCTTGACGCTCGAAACCCCAAGTCTCTAACAAACTACATGGTGAATCCAGAATTGAGAAACCAGATCTTCAGGGTCGATCAATCAGCCTATGACACGCTGACGAAAGCTCCGAAATCCATGAAAGGGCCATAAAAATATACATCATCACAATCACTTCGTTCCCAATCATTTGGGGGAAGTACGACGTGAGGAGTCTTAGACCATCCGACCACCGTGGCTTTACCACTTTCATCTTGCTTTAGGTTATCGTTGGTACTGTTGGTGCTGTTGGTGCCGTTGGTATTTCTTTGCTGATGGTCCCCATCAAGGTTATTGATTGCATTGCTTGACTGCTGCTACTACTTCACCCCTCCATGCGTGCATGCATCGGATTCGGATGGGTGGTTGGATAAGTGGATGGGTGGATGGGTGGATGGGTGGATGAGGAGAGGAGGGGTTGAAACACATTCATCAATCCTGGTATAGCTGGACCCTGTCTTCAAGTTGATACCGCAAAATACAATTTTGAGAATATTATAGAGACCATTATAGCTCCTTCTCCTCCCTTGAAATATCATCGGCGTGCGCGTAACATTGTAGAATGTCCAACTGCGACCAATGATAAGGGCACGTTGAGATCAAACTGGTGCAGCCATGCAAGATGCAGGTGTCAAGTAACCCTCGCTCCTGGCGGTAATGCAAGATAAAACCACAGACAAAAAGACTTCATTCGTCTGTCAAACGGGTCATCGCATATATGAGTTGAAGCATCGATTGAAGCATCAAGCAAGGTTCGAGACAGACACAAACGTAATCGGTCCTCTACATCGTATACGGGACCAACCAGTAACAACCTGGGATACCTGGTAAGCATAGGGCGAACGAACGACATCGAACTTCGAAGCTTTAACAAGCTTCCACTCTTTCCCTTCCGCTCCTTCGGCAATTTCCACTTTGCAACCAATTCGTAAATAGATAATGGATCCCTTCCTGGGTAGGTTCTACTAGTACTAGATAGTGAAATAGTGAAGGGTTCAGCTGAACAAGCTTCATTGGCAAGGTTCTCCATAAATATGGCTTGGTCAGATGCTTGTTTTATCCAGCGAGGATAGCCTTGTAAGCTTTAACGGTCGACCTTCTCGTCATTTGCATAATTTAATGAGCGTTCAAAGTTTTTATGAATATTTTATGTACCCACTTGCACCTGGGCGGGAACTTAACATTGAATCAGCCTTGTCAGAAAAACAAGCAAGGCTGACGAAATTCGAGGTGGAAGAAAACAAGAGTACCTAAATATGACAACACCACGTCTGCCAACTGTAGATGATCTACCAAGGAATCTATTATGTGATATTCTACCATCCAAAGATGGAAAGAATACCAACATTTTGATTCTGCTTCATGGCTTGGGGGATACGAAGAATGGATTCACACAGCTTGGTGAGATCTTATTTACCATATTTGCATTTCCTCCCCTCCCCCCAATACCTCTCATATTGCCAACACCCTCTCATGTTTTACAGTTTCTATCATTTCACTAACTACTCCGTCAACTAACACTTCCGCTCAGCCAAAAACTTATCTCTGCCTCAAACTGCGTCCTTGATTCCTCAAGCTCCAACCCCAATTCCCGCCCTCATAACTGGTTCCGACGTACCTTCTTTCCATTGGGCACGCGATCTTGAATTCGACTCTACGACTGGCTCTCTAGACCTCGATGCTGATCTCACACCCTCTATCACAATTCTGACTTCTATGATTGAGATGCTTATGGAATCATGTAATTATTCGCCGAGAAATATATTCCTCTTTGGGTTTGGACAAGGAGGCATGTTGGCTCTTTCGACTCTTGCACAAACTACTTCTTCACTCCTCAAAGATGTGGAATTGGGAGGAGCGATTTCAATCGGTGGACGACTTCCTACCTCTTTTTCTCCGCCTTCAAATTCAGCGACGACTCAAAAGGATAACAAAGGGAAAGTCAGAACACCAATTTTGGTAGCGGGCGGAAACAGAAAGTCGGAAATAACAAGGACAGCGTTGGAAAAGGTAAAGGGTACATTCGCGGAAGTAGAGTATGTTAAATGGGAGAGGGAAGGTGATGGTATGATGAGGGGGAGAGAGGAGGTGCTGCCACTGATGAGATTTTGGGGTAGGAGGTTGAAAATGGGGGCCCCGGAGGGGATGACTGAGGTTTGAGATGGAGAGGTGAGGTGAGGTGAGGGAGCATAACGAGAAATTAGGACGTTATGAGTGGGATTTGAGTGGGTTGATTCGTCAATGATACTCAGGTTTTCAATTTCAAGATCCCGGGGGTCGAAATTGCCGGCGGCATATTGCTTTGGCCTACAACACACTGCAGACAGTTCTGTATAGGTGTTTTACTACATGTCTGCTATCCATACTCATCTTTCATTGTCTAGGTATGAGATAGTGAGCTTATATTGCTATGGATAATTCAATGGGCTTGGTCTGGGTAAGGGTACCGAAGGGGAAATTATTTCCTTCTTGAAGTTAGGAAATAAGATATTCTAGATACGATCCGTTTCACATGGCAATTTTAGAATGCTCAGAGATAGCAGCGTGGATATAAAATGGTTGAGTATGCTTCCATCATCAAAGAGCCATCAGCAAGAATCTCAGATAGATGTCGATCTTCGTGTTTGCCATTTGCTCATAGTGTTCCGCATATTATCATTATCATCAATTATCTGGAAACCGCAGCTATTTATTCAGGTTTTATCTCATCTCCCATTTGTTTTCCTCGTTGTCATTTTTTCTACATTCAATTTCCCCTCCCAACCTCTAACCCTAATATCGTTTACCCAAAAGTAACCCATCGCTGTTTACTTTTTTATATATTCTTGAAACTCGCTTTCTGTACCTACCTAAGTAGAAATCTTATTGCATGTTTAATGTACTATATTTGTCCCTAATCTTTATCATTCTCGAAAATACAAGTATTTCCTTATATGTCTAGGGTCGACTTTTTAATTATACACTTCGGGACCACCAATGTTTGGGAGTTGTTTTCAAGGTGTGCTTATGGAAGTCATTTGTTTATCTACTCTCATATGCCAATAGAAATATGCTCGCCTGAAGAGTATATCGAAATGACACGATGCCCGAGGGGTAACTGCCGTCCAAGCATGTCAGATTTTGAAAGGCAAAAGATTGTGAGGAACATCGTAGCCCTTAAATCTACCATAAAAAAAAGCATGAGATAGATATGCGCAAGAGATGACTGTGAAGCTTAGGAAGGACTGATCCTCGTTGTCATTCTAGTTCCTGAAATATAAACCCAGCTTTCCTTTGATTACGATTCACTCATTTTTGTACCAAATCACCACTGTTCTCTTTCACTATTTTTCATGAAGATGCGCGTTCATGTAACTTAAATCCTTCTTAATATGTTTAATTGCCTCATCTCTTCCTACCAGAGTCTTGACCTTTCTTACAGCCTGTATTCAAGTGATGCCTGGTCCTTTGAGAACTACATTGTGGCTCTCAAAGATGTGGTGATGCTAATCCCGATAATGCCTGGGCTATTATATCTTCAGAAACCTAGAAAAGACGGATTATTAATTTGCTGCTGGCGAATCTTATGTCTCTTCATATGTTGTTTTGTTCGATTGCTCATCGACGATACATCTTTTCTCATTCTACCCAGGTACATTTGTTTCAACGTTTCAATCCCCTTTAAACCCATACTTTATTCTGTATCATACGTCCAATGGAACTCACGCCTTGCATTGTCAAATGTGCTCTGCTTTTTCGCGCCTTTCGTTAGATTTTATACTCAAGATGGCGAGAGCTGGCGGGGTCTACAGTCGCAGTCTGGCTTGATGCCCGACGATGAAAGCTTTTAATTTCTGAATTTACTTGATTCTGTCAGATGAGTTGAGATTTCCAGTTCGAAATGAAAACATGCTCTCTCGACTTAAGAGACTCGGAAGAAATCAAATAGCTGATAAAGGAGTTATTTTTATTGTAACTCATACTGGAGGAAACATGAGCAGACTTTGTTATTTTTCTTGAGAACAATTACAAATTCTAGATTCCACTGTGGATAGCTTCTGTGACCACCTGAATTTATTACCACCGTCACCTCTATTTGCGTATGCGGGAGGGATCGTTCAGCGAATTGACATGGTCAAATCAGATGCTGGTCTCGGATGTTAGAAAAGCCCGAAGACCCGGTTACCGAAGCATAGGTACATCCCACTTACCGGACGGGGACAGAAGACATGGTGTGGTGTTCTCACGAAGGATCTATGACTATGAGAATTCGCATCGAGAAGCGAATTCAAGTGAGCAATTCACCAAATCACATCAAAATCCATACATGCCAAGGCCATGCAAATCTATCATACCGCTGGTCTTTGACCATACTAGGTTCAGTTCTAAAGTGCTGCCTAAATAAGAAGTTGTTTTGATGGGCATCTCGAAACTCATATAAAAGCATATGAAGTATGAAATCAAAACAACAATGCAAAACATAACCAGAAAGATGGTGCCCATGACTACACCCAAATTGAAAGTCCTGATTTCAGGTGCTGGTATCGCCGGGCCGTGTCTCGCATATTGGCTTGCTAGAACCGGACTCACCGCTTCGGTCAAAGTTATTGAGCGATCACCGGTTCCAAGAACCACTGGACAAGCGATCGATATTCATGGTGCAGCTATTGAAATTGCGAAGAAAATGAAACTTGAGGAAGCTATTCGCGCGCGAACGACAACCGAAGCGGGTACGATGCTTTTGAATTCTTCAGGGAAGCCATTCGCGACATTTCCAGTTGGTGACACCTTCACATCACGTTACGAAATTTTGCGGGCTGATCTATCTGATCTCCTTTTGGAAGCTAGCAAGAAATTCGATAATATCAACTATAAGTATGGTGATTTTGTCCAGTCTCTTAATCAGACGGAGACGGGTGTCGATGTAATTTTCAATGGGGGATCACAAGAGACATTTGACTTAGTTGTAGGTGCAGATGGGTCCACATCAAAGATCCGATCTATGATTCTGGAAAAGGAAGCCCTGAAAGACAGCTACAACTTCATCGGTCAATACATCGCTTTTTTTAGCATCCCAAGTCAACCAAATGATTCGAAATATTGGGAGATCTTCAATGCACCAAAGGGTCTGTGTATGATGACGCGACCACATCGAAATCCCTCTACCAAAGGCGTTTACCTGTGTATCACGATGCCAAAACACGGAATTTGCGACCCAGTAGTGGAGAAAGCCATGGAGGGAGGGGTTGAAGCAACGAAGCGTATGCTACATTCATACTTCGAAAATTGTGGTTGGGAAGCAAAGCAAATATTGGAGGGATTGGACAAGTCTGATGACTTTTATATGGCCAAAGCCGCACAGGTCAAGGTACCAAAATGGACGAATGGGCGTGCTGTAGTGATTGGAGATGCTGCAATGGCAACCTTCGGCGTTGGGACTACTTTGGCTATTGACAGTGCCTATATCCTGGCCGGAGAATTGTCAAAAATAAAGAGCAGTGCTGAAATTCCAGAGGCGTTACAGAGATATGAAAAGGCATTCCGGCCAATTTATAAAAAGATGGAGGACCTTCCACCTGGCTTCCCACAACTTGCCATGCCTCAAACTAGATGGGGCCTGCGGATTAGAGATTCAATAATCTGGTTTATTGGTAAGACGAAGGTACATAAACTTCTCCCTGAAGATCGGAGCACTGATCATGAGTTGCCGAAATACGATTGGATAAAAAGTTAAAACAAAATTTTCGATGGGCAGGCGAGGAACACCAGGCATAGAGAATTGCGCCATTGCTAGAATTTATAATAACAGTCATAATTTACATGAGTGGCGAGAAAGCAAGCTCGATAGTTAGTCGGAATATATGTGACCAGTTATTGAAGAACTGATCAGTATAAAGTACAGGAACCTCATTCAAGACCGTTTCTCAACCCTCAAATCCCGCCAGAATTTTCCCGAACATCTCCCCCATCCTCCAGCACCCAAGCCCCCTCAAACCTCTCCCCGCCCTTCTAATCGCTTCCTTGACTTCCTCCCTCTCCGCACCCTCCAGCCGCGTCCTCAACTCTTTATAAACCCAGCAGACCAACCCCCCCGTGAAAAGACATACCGCAATCTCATAGCTTGCTTCTTCTGTTCTCTCGCCGGCTAGTCCCATTGTTCCTAGTATGCCATCCCCTCCACTCCTATCCCTCAATCTTATGCATTCTTCGGATAAATTGAGCATTTCATACACATTTCTCATTGTTCCACCGACAATGTCTGAGTTTGCCCAATATTTCAGGTTAATTGCCGCAAAATCGCAATCTTGGCGACTTGAAGACCGACCTGCCATTAAGTGCACATCACTCAGACTAACGTCCAAACTAACGAATCCCAGCGCGCAGAGAAGCCTTCCAGCTACAGATATCTCTCCGGGAGTTGCCCCGTAGCATTCATTCCACGAATCTAGTGCATCAATTAACCATTTTCTTCTACTCAAAAGCCCAGCACCAATATCCAGTGCGTGATTCCCCATGGTGCCCATCAATCCTGTAGGATTTAACATAGAAACTGATGTACGCCAGTCAAATATCAGAGTGTGTATTGCATAAAGAACGAGAGTTTTCCCAAATACTGTAGTTGGGATGACAGGTGGAGGAGGCTTAGTCCATTTATGAAGAAGGATACCATTCAAAGCATGGAGATAATATGTTGCAGGTGGGATGTCGGCTGGACCAAGGAGCATCTTCCAGGCTTGTGGTGATGGCGCTTCCCAATGCTGTTCCGGGCACGGGAAGACGCAATTCGTGGTTTCCGCTCTACTAATAGACGGTTGCACATTGAACAGGGTAGCGTATTGGCAGTCAAAAATCTGTTCAAGTGTTAGCAACGAAAATGCGAGTGATAGAGAAAGCATACGTAAATAGACAGCCCAAGCCGCTTTCTTTTCTCGGTCTCTATCCACGAAAACCATTCAATCTCTTGTGGTGAGCTTCTGGGTAGCGAGCTTGGATCAAGCTGCACTCTAGAGATTGGTCTACAATCCAGCAAGCGAGCTCGTCGACCAGCTGTTATCAGAATACCCTTCACACCTTCAGCGAATTCGTACATTTTCTTACTTCCACCCCAAGCTCCCGCGAGTAAAAGGTTAAATAATGTAAAGATGTTGTCAAGAATCCGAAGCTACACAAATGTTAGCTATGAGAATCACTGTTGGAAGACAAACTAACGTGTTTCTCTTCAATCTCATGTAATCTCATGCTCGCTGCCCTTGCTCGATTATGAAATAGCCGTAAGAATCTGCCACGATCTGCCCTTGAATAACATGAACCAAGAAACATCATCGACAACACTAGAAGAGGAGAGCTGGCGAAAATGTCAAAGGTTGGAACGTGGGCGATAGGAAATCGCGGATGCACATGTCGAAAATAAAGTCGGAGGAAAAAATCCAGTACTTCTGAGGGTGGAAATGTCGAGACATTGATTTCGACATACACCGCATCACCTGATTCGGCAGGAAATTCAATTTGTAACATGCTTAGTAGCGTGGATCTCAATACATCGTTCACCTGCTGGCTTGGACCTGCCGTGAAGCTGCTCCTTCTCGCTTCGTAAGAAGTTGCATGCCATGATTCTGGACCTAACCGGGGAACAGGCCTTGGGCCCCATCGTGGTGGACTTTCTAATCTACTGACTTTATCCGGCCAATCTTCCTCATCCCCTTCGGCGTCCAGGTCAATTGATTGACCTCGAGAATCAGACTTGACAAAATCTGAGCTGCAAAGACCGAAGTCCAGATCCATATTACTCCAAGAATCCTGGCTAAAGCAGTCCAATGTCCAAGAAATATCTGCATCATATGATCCCATGTAGATACTTGGGCTATCATTGTAAAGCATAAAACCATCCCATGAGCTGGGATTCAAGCTTCCCGAGACTTGAAGTCTATTGTCACCAGGAGGTGGTGCCAGTGCAGCTTCAACTAGACTTGAAAGGCCTTGGGATTGAGTTGGAGGTGTGCGAGAATCAGAATATAATGCTTCTTGAATTGGTGGCAAGCTATCGAGATTGCCACCACGCCACTGCATGCTCGGAGGTAATGCAGTTACAAAGTCATTATTGATTGGGATAGAGACCTCATCACGATGGACAAGATTGGAGATTGGTTGGGGTTCAGATGGGGAAGCTGAAGCAGATTGAGGCATCACGTGGGATCGTGCATTACCAGCGCGTTTATCTGAACCATGATTTTGGTTATGTATCCGACGATGGCGACTTAATAAGTCACTTCGCGTAAACCTTTTCCTACAAACTGGACAAGCAAATTTGCCAACTTCATCATCTGAGTTTAAAGAAATGTGATTAGCACGTGACATATCTCAATACCCAGCTTTCTAGGTATGCTTTTGAATCATGAAAATTCGGCAGGTAGAGTTGTTAACAGTTGGAGGATGTGTGCAAGTGAGAATCAAACAGGTATCAGAACAAGAACAAGGAGGAGCGAAGCGACAGATCATAAATAGATGAACACGAAGATGGACATGAAAACGATTACTTACGATTGGCTTGATGTCTAGTTAAATTTTCAATCCTACTAAAATTCTTTGGACATTGAGGACATTGAAATCGATTCCCGGTGACTGTTGATTTAGCCGGTGAGGGTCTATTTGGACTTCCCTTCGCAGAACTGGTTGAAGAAGTACCGGTAGTACTTTGTGGAGTTTCAGTAGTACCACTACCAACGGCAGCGAAATTTGAATTGGAGGCAGCTAAATCATCATACGAAGCAACTGGATGGTTACTAGTATCCATGCTCAACGTTATACAGTGGATTATTGTATCTCATAGGAAGGCGAGTGGTCTCGTTTTCCCTCGGTCCTTCGGTCTCCCCGGCTTCTCGGTATCGTATGGTAGGTATTGTTGTTTGAATTGTATCGAATCGAATCGCACCGTATCGTATCGTATGCAATTGATCAATCAATCGTGTGAGATGTCATGTCATTGATCAGCTTATTTCATAGAGAAAGGTGGACGGTGAGGACGGAAATTAAGATCATGGAGGATGGCGGGGGAGGCGGGTCAAATCATGCAAGATGTTTGGGGTACGAAGTGAGGTTGACGGCTCTGCATGTGGGGATTTGGATCAAGTGAAGAAAAGAATAGAAGGGAGAGTGAAGGAACATCAGGTGGAAGACTCCATAGAAATCATTGTACTTATGGTTGATGTGGGTTACCGGAAGTGGACGGAGAATATCCGGTTAAATGTCACTGCTACCTTGTCTCAAATTGGTCTACGATACCTTGTAGCTAACAGACCACTTGCTTTCCTCTCCTCGACTACTCTACTCATTCCCAACTTTAATGACACTCCCATGGGCCACTACATTGAAGACTGTTTTGCTTCGCTCCGATGGAAGGGAGTTACTCTAGGTAGCAGGTAGGTAGTAGGTAGGTCGTAGGCAGATTGAGATCCCTATCTTCATCGAGGCATTCTAATCGATCGCAGCGGAACAATCTCCATGGTAGTGATTCAACGGAGTGTCATTAAATCAACAAGATAGCATTCAAAGTGTCTAATCTTTTCTAAACATGTGATCAAGAGTATAAGGTAGAAACAAAATAGACAATAGTTCTATATTCCTTCAGGATACGTCGTAAAAGCAGAATTTTCATACTAATCATCTCAAGCTAAATCACGCTTTCGCTTTTCGCTTCCCCTTCATCAAATGAACTCGATGAGCCCTCATGACTGCGCCTTAGCTTTCCAGTCCTCATGAGCTTTCTTCTGTCTGTCCCAATCCTTCTTCAATTTTTTCAATGCACTTTTGGGTACATCTTCCCCGTCTTTCGTCTTCGTCGGCATACCATCAACATCCCATGCACTAAATCTATCATCCTTGAACATATCCACTGGACTGAGTTTTGCTTTTTCGATCCTTTCTTGTTCCAACTTCTCTCTCGCAAGTTTGGCGGCTTCTTTTTGTGCTGCCTTCTCTCTTTCCTTAGCGGCCTTCTCCTCTTTTTGTGCTAAAAGTTCTTCTTTTGGAATGAACTTGATAAGCGAACCTTGTTCGTCTGGTCTATCATCCAAATAAACACCGAGATTCGTGAGATCGTTGTCCCGAATTCGATCAGATAATGCCAGGATATGTTTTTTATGTTCAGAGGTTGGTGCTACTCGCCTCAGCTCATCTCTAGTCCTCGCAACGGCCCGAATGTATGGGAGAGCGAGAGCTTCCTGATCTTTTGTTCCCGAGGATACAAGCAATGAAAATTCGCTGTCAACATCCGTGGCGAGCAATTTGTCAAGTGTCTCAGTGTGTAACGACAAACCCTCAATTTCGTCTTTGACTTGTCTGAAGACGTTGGCATAAGGTGCCACAATCTGTTCAGGGGTATGATTACTATCAACAGAAGCGCTAGCCCAACCAAGTCCATCGTATGGTGCTTTTGCATTTGCATCGAGACCGAAGATGCCAAGTATCTTTGTAATCCATCGAGCAACTTTCTCTAGTCCCTGGATGTCAAGATCAGATTTGTGAGAGCCAATGTGGACATTCGATTCCTTGATTAGCTCTTGCAAAATAAGCATGGCTCTTGGTGTATCAAAGGATTCTGTGAGAGCGGTCTGAAGATCTGTCTGTGCCTTGTCCAAGGCTGCTTGCAATTCTGGATGGATCGAAAGAGATTTAAAGTCCTCGACGGATGTCGAATTTCCACCCTCAATGATGTGGGATTTGACATTGACGAAGAAGTTGTTAACGGTCGCTTCCCATGCGTCGGCCATCAGTCTCATATCTGGCGAAATCTCAACACCATCATTCCATCTTCCCATCAGAAATACTATTCTCATTGACCTTGGAGTATAATCAGTAGCTAGTGCATCTCGAATGGTCTGGAAATTCTTCAATGACTTCGACATCTTTGACCCTGCAATAGAAAGATGCCCCATGTGCAAGAAGTAGTTTACCCACTCATGTGGGCCATGCTCATGCTCGCAGAAATATGCCTCACTTTGTGCCAATTCATTGTCGTGATGAGGAAACGCGAGATCAATACCACCGGAGTGTATATCCATCTTTGACCCTAAAACATCGGAAGCCATGACGGAGCACTCAATATGCCATCCAGGTCTGCCTTCACCCCAGGGACTTGGCCAGCTTGGTTCTCCTGCTTTGGATTTCTTCCAGAGTGCAAAATCTCCTGCCCCTCGCTTACCACCCAAATTCTTCGATAGTGACCCTTCACCTTCTTCTTGCAAGGCTTTGTCGTTTCTACTTTCTGGTCGTAGTCGCGCATAAGGATTACCAGCTTTCTCGAATGCTGCAATATCGAAGTAAACCGATCCGTCTGATTCATAAGCAAAGCCCTTGTCAATAATTTTCTTTACGAAGGTTGCGATCTTTGGTACATAGGTGGTAACTCGTGTGATAACATCTGGTCGCATGACATTTAGTGCGTCCATGTCTTCCATGAATTGATCTTCCCAGTATTGAGTGACATTGGTGAAAATGGTATGGTCTTTCGCGTCGATCGAATCCTTATACAAAGAATCGAGATATGGAAGAAGAATCTCATCTGCTCCACCGAAAATCTTCTCTTGTTGGATGGCTTGCGCCGCAGAAGAAAGATTGCTTATATGCATCTTTATCTTCGCTTCCGCATCTCCTGGTTTTCCTTCGCCTGTCAATGTTCCGCCCGCCAATACTTTTCCATATGCAATATCTCTTCTTTCTGCATAATTGTTAGGTGTAAGTTGAGTGCCATCTTTCAGCAGTTCCGGGAGGTTTGATGTTGCGTAGGATTGGAAGGCTTCTGCGGCTAATTTTGCGAGCTCCGGTTCGGTATATGTTTTCGACTTTTCAAGCTCCAGTAGCTTTTGTCTTCGGGCTTTCAAGATAATCTGTCAAAAGATCATCAGTCAATTACCCCGCCATTCTAGATTCTATACCCCCCACCTTGTCATCGACATCTGTAATGTTCATAACAAAATTCAGATCAAAACCAAAATAATCTTTCATGATTCTTCGTATAATATCAGTAGAAACATAGTTCCTAGCATGTCCCAAGTGCGAGTGATCATATACTGTTGGTCCGCAGACATACCAAGAAACCTTTCCTTTCTCAATAGGTACAAATGGGACTGGACCACCAGGCTTTAAAGAGTTGTGAACTTTCAATTGATCCATTTTTGTAAAATTATTCGTAGTAAACTTTCGAACTGTGAGCAAATGAATATAAGGATTAGAGAACGTAGAAAATCTTAGAGAGCGTAAGGGAAGAAACATTCAGTTGGTAGAATGTCATGAAGATATTGAGTCACTTCTTTGTTTGATAATTATAGGTGAGTAAAGGGCGGGCTGATTCGTTGATTTATTTAATCCAATGTTGCTCAAGTATGACTCGGTGGGCTGAAAATAAATTTATCGTGGGGCCATCTTTTTCAGCCTCGTTGTAAGGTTCAAATCTAGCCTTGCGGTTATAAAATTATTTCTTTCGCACAGAGGGAACGATGCAAATAGAACAAGATACAAAAGTCCAGAACTTCTTGAAGTCCTTATCACAAGCAACAACAACCTATCAGGTACTCACGATGAGTAATAAAAGATCACCATTTCTCTATCCTGGAGCAATTTCGTCTTCAGATCAATTGGCAATTTTACACTTAAAAAGAGATCTCCAAACTCCAACAATTCTCAAGAGCACCGACGAAAAGGATGAAGGATACGCAGAGGGAAAGGTAACGAACACTCGATTCGGATCTTTTCCGCACACGACGTTGATTGGAATACCATGGGGAACTCAAGTACTTGCATCCAAAGTTGATACTGGATCTAGAGGGCGAAGAGGTGACAAAAAACGAAAGCGAGACGATGTGGAAGCTGTTGAGACCCTGAAAGCCGAAGAAATTACCACAGAAAATGCAGAAGATGGATCGCCAACAACTACGAGCACCAAAGAGATGACGGAGGCTGTAGCTGCTGGAAGCGGATTCATACATTTCCTACCCCCTACACCTGAAAATTGGACCAATTCCTTACCACATCGAACGCAAGTTGTTTACACGCCTGATTACAGTTATATTTTACATCGTATACGCGCAAGACCTGGAACGAGTATCATTGAAGCCGGAGCTGGTAGTGGATCCTTCACACACGCATCTACAAGAGCTGTGTTTAATGGATATCCTGATGAACATACAATAAAGAAGCGCAAGTTGGGCAAAGTCTGGAGTTTCGAATTTCATGAACCGAGACATGCGAAATTAGTTGAGGAATTGCAAGAGCATGGATTGGATGAACTTGTGGAGATCACGCATCGAGATGTTTGTGAAGGGGGATTCTTAGTTGATGGAAAAAGTCCAAAGGCCGAATCTATATTTTTAGACTTACCTGCTCCATGGTTAGCACTCCCGCATCTTACTAGATCTCCTCCGCCTCTTATCAAGAACCCTAACGGCGAGCTTTCTCCAACGAAGCCCATCGCCGAACCATTCGTTTCTGCTCTCAATCCAGAAGCACCAGTTCATCTATGCACTTTCTCCCCCTGTATCGAACAAGTTCAACGGACTATATCTGTTATGCGACAACTTGGCTGGGTCGACATTGAGATGGTAGAATTATCAGCAAAGCGATTTGAAATCCGGCGAGAACGAATAGGTATCGATAACGGAGTACAGAGGGGTCTGCAAACTACACCAGCCAATGTCGAGGAAGCCGTGAGTCGGTTATTAGAAGTCGAAATCGGACATCAAACATTCCACAAGAAAGGCGATGCTCCAGACAAAATGCCAAGACAAAATCCAAATACTAGGGAAACACTGATAAAGAGTTTGGTCGAGGGCAAGATTTATAAGGAAGGAAAATTGATACACAAGACAGAACCAGAAGTCAGGACTCACACTTCGTATCTGGTGTTTGCAGTGTTGCCGAGGGAGTGGAGTGAAGAGGATGAAAGAAAGGCAAGAGAGAAGTGGCAAGTGAACTTTAATGGTGAGACGGAAACTAATACCACGAAACAAGTTGAGCTGCCTATGAGCAAGAGACAAATGAAAAAGGCCGCGAGAGCCAACCATGTTAAGCCCGAGGCCGCTGCTGCTCCGCAGGCTGGCGATGGTGTAGGATCTGCAAATGGGGCGACTGGGCCAGCCAAAGAGAAGACGGGAGAAAAGCCGGAGGCATAGGCCAGGTAGCACATAATAGGCGTTTCAAGAACATACTAGATACTCTCAAGGCATATTTCTTCTCGCCCACAATTGAATAGTTTAACCGAGAAGGCTTCTAATTGTGCATGTATTCATTTGGTTAAAAGGGGCCAATGAGGATTTAAATCAAATCTTTCTCTACTTTGCGTTTTACCTCTTCCATGAGGACAATTCCTCACATGCAGACTTTTGATTTGAGCAAAACTACAATGATTATTAGTATTTGCCGTTTCTTAAATCTTGAAACGAACCCCTTTGTTAGAACGAAGCACAAGTCAAGTGTGTTGTTCGAAGTAGAGTTCGGTCTAGTGGCCACAATGAGTTTCAAAGAAAATTCAACTCTACAACTGCAATTGCTCCTTCATCCTTCTAGAAGCTTATCTGGAATCAATTTCTAGCATGAATCCAGAATCATTGGTTGCAATTAGTATGCACCACTCACTTACTCGACTGCGATCCTGTTGATATCCCTCCACAATAAGTTCGTAACCTCCTCGTTTTTGATAGAGCCCTCCATATACTTTCTGGCTGTGCGCATACCACCCCATTGATTCAACTCAACCTCTTCATTCTTACTTTTAACACGTTTGTGAGCATTCGCGGAACTTCGATAGCTTCATCCTGTCAGCTAAGCATCCTTTGGCACCAAATTTCTTCAACTTGATATAAAGTAAACGTAGCGACACGAAATTATAGTGTATAATATTGTAAACATTCAGCTATCTAGGTAGGTACTCAAGGGCTTACCGTAATGGTGGAGTTAGTAGTAACTCCGTTGGAAGCATGCTAACCCCGACAACCCTTTTGCTTGATAAAAGCCCCGAGTTTGACATCGTATTTCAATCTGCTCATTATTACCAAATAATAGTCTCCGATCAAATGCCAATACAAACTATGACAGCAACAATGTCATCCACCTGGCTAATAACAGGCGCCTCCTCCGGCATCGGTAAATCTCTTGCTCTTGAAGCTATCAAGTCTGGCGCCAGAGTAGTTGGGACCACTCGCGACATAAACAAAGCCGAAATGTCTTTTCCTGAATTCGTGGAAATGGGAGGAATTTGGATAGCCTTGGATCCCGCCCAAAAAGATGCTTTTGAGAGATTTTCGAAGTGCGCAACAGAGTATGACATCGACGTTTTAATTAATAACGCAGGTTATGCATCTATTGGTGGAGTGGAGGATACAAGGTCGGGTTTTGAATCATGCGCAATAAGTATCTTCACTGACGTGTACACATAGCGAAGATGAAGTACGAGAGCAGATGGAGGTCAACTTTTATGGGCCTCTCCGAGCCGTACGGGCCTGTCTTCCAGCAATGCGGTCAAAAGGATCAGGAAATCTTGTGCTTATAAGTAGTGGTGCCGGGTATGTCAAAACCAGCTCGTTGGGTCCTTCTCCACTGTCCATTATACTGCTTTCGGAATTCCACTGATGAAATATTGCGCATGTGAAGGTTTATAGCGCGTCCGGCACGATCATCATATTCCGCCAGTAAATTCGCAATTGAGGCAGTTTACGAATCCCTCTCTCATGAACTCAAGACTTTCGGCATCAAAGTTCTCATCGTAGAGCCAGGGGCATTCCGAACACCGTTCGCAAGCAGGATCAGGACACCAGCTCAGTATCAAGTCAGCAATGGTTTCAGTGAAGCATACAAAGGTACTGCGGTTGAGCAGATGGTGAACGGAACTGTAAACATTATGTCTATTCCGGACTTTGTGAAAGGAGATCCTGATAAAGCTGCGCGAGCAGTTGCCAATGCTGTCATAGGAGGACATGATTATCTGCGTATGCCGCTAGGACCTGACTGTGTGACTGCATTAGAAGATAAGATTGGACAATTGCAAGAGGATTTAGATGCGACCAGATCTATCGCTATCGGTACCAATTTTGATTGATGGATTCGACCAAACAATGATTTGGGATTTGACCAGCTGATGTGAAATCAAGGGGTTGCTGTGTCGATAACTCGAATTGCATAGCAGGGCTTCCCAATGATATCCACTGAATGCAAACAAATATAAGTGGCCTCCACATGCATTTATTTACTGATATAATTGAGTACTGGACAAAATAACAAGTCTCGATTTCAAATACACAGATCTCCTTTCCTTAGTTGTCCAACATTGTGTTCAATCCCAAATGCAACATGAGAATGTCTTTCCATCTGCCATTGACTTTCAGATTCTTCTTCAGCAGACTTAGGATTGCCTGTTATGACCTGATCTAATACCGGTCCAAATTTGAGCCTATACTGTCCGGGATCCTTTGTCAATGGTTCGGCACCTAAACAAGACCTCCCCAAGATTTCGTCCAGTTCCGGGTTACGAGTAGTTGCAACAATAGCTGAAAAGGAATTCGAATGTACTACCCCGTTGGATTTTATAGCGTGAATACCGACTGCTACAGCCATTATGGAAAATAAGAAGGCCAAGCCATACGATATGAGAAGCCAAAACGGATGGTATATATAATAATTGTTTGTGTTGGAGGTGAGAATTTTTTGTAGATCGCCATCACTCGTCAAATCCGGCGAGCTAAGATAACTGATGGTGATATTGTTTGCTAAATCTTCAATACCACGCGCCAAAGTTTGATTTCGACATAGCCAAGGTCGTGTTGTTGAAGTGAAGGTATTGGTAAACGTAGAAGAGGGATTGCCGATAAGATATGAGCTTTCGTTCTTGAATGGGGTACTGGCGATTTCCTCACAGGCCATCAAGCCTGTCCCAAGAATATTAGTTGTTCCATAACCGCTGTATTGTTCATTCTGACTACTGCCAAGAGTGACATCTCGTAAAGTTATGTTCCCGCCAAGTATAGCTCCAAGAGCATACACATGCGGAATATATTGATTCCACAATACCTTTGCCGATCCACCAGTTGCTGTTGCGGTTGTAACACCTTTCGAATCAGTAACTGTAGGTCCACTTTCTATATCACCGACGTCCATATAAGAAAGATCATAACGTCCAATAACTTCGATGTTTTGCTGAGTGACATACTGGACTCCATCAATGTACGATACTGCGATATTGAATGTCGCGTTCACCGCAGTACAAATCAATTCCGACGTTGAAGTCTGGATCCATAGTTGAGGATAATAGGACCCATGTAATACTAGTGGTGGTGGAAGAAACCCGGCATTTGGTGTGCCTCCTGCATACCAAGTGCTCCACGAACTGTAAACAATTTTACCAGAGCCCACACCGAACGTTGTATTTGTACGATTATCATTTTGATCGTCATATGTGAAGACATTGCTTTGCTCATAATACTTGGTGATGTTGTTGAATATGGCCTGCTGGATATTGTTCGGTTCGTTGCATTTTATCGACGGGCCATAAAACTGCAAAGTATATGACCATTCAGATCCGGACACTTGTCTAGACAATCCTAACACATTGATATTTGAGGCTGTATTTATCGCAATGGTATTGGTGATCGAGACTGCATTATACTGGCCATCCACAGAATTGTTCCAAATGGCTTTAGAAAAATCAAGAACTGGCAAACGCACTTCCTCGGAAATGTTCTTTGCAACAATTGTCAAAGTTGCTGCTGGTGCAATACTTGCGAGTCCCAGAAGCCTGCAATGAATCAGTGACGGCTCTTATTACACTTCACATGTAGGGTTTCCAATAGTCTGAACTGGCAAACTAGATGTGAAATTTTGACATCTGATACCAACTGAACAATCGGAGTCATTTCTATTTCCACTATTATTGTAACAAAATTCAGACTATTAGACCTCTGATATTTTAAAACATACCATGTAATGACACCTAACAAGATGGCAAGTTTTGCTCCTTTTAATAGCTCGATACTGAATAGGGCTATGGGATCCGTTGACAAAGCAAAAAGACGATCCAAGTTTCCTATTCTGGAGATTAGTCTAAGGATCTTGAAAGCCTTACTACAAACAGTACTTATGCTCAATGGTTGGCGTTTGACAACTGTCCAAATATATTGCCCTAAAGCGGCCGTCGTTGTTGCCTTAAAACAAGATGTAATTAAAAAGGCAAAGCCGGTGCCAATACGGGTGGGCCAAGCTTGTTTTTTCTCGTCGCCAGTTCTTACGCCGCTGAGCGACATGTAGTAAAGGTGATGAACCAATGAAAGAACGAAGCCAACAAAAAACATTAAGCCAATGAACGAGGGTTTCTTCCAATGAATTCCCCAGGGAGCGAATCGAGGCCTTGAAATTTGTGTAGATTTCCTTTGGGCGTAGGAGACATCATCACCATCCGTCAAAGATTTTTCGGATAATGATGATGATGATGGTACAAAGGTACTTTTATCACTGTGCACAGGTGTCGAGAGCGATTCCCGGTGGAAAGTAACATCATCGAGTGCTTGGTAGTCAATTGACCCATCATCGACTGCTTTGCGCCGACTTAATTCGATCATCTTCAAAGCTTAAGAAGTCTTGGTGAAAAATGGAGATGCCAGACTTTGACACATGAGGCTGAAATTTTCTTCCGTTTCTGCTTCTCCTATATAATGTCTGCTAATTTACTGCTATACGAACTAATTAGGTAGCTGGCCTCGCCCACGTCGATGCCCCATAAAAGATATGATAGTAGTGCTTGGGTGTCGCGTGACTCGCGTCAAGCCCACTAAATGAATGGATTTTCACCGCCTGGCTCTGAACCATTCTCAGGAACTGGATGACAAGTTCAGCATCAAGCCCAGGTAAGACCGGTAGACCGCAATGATGAAAATTGATTGCTTGGTTATCAGGGCATTTTGTGCCTTTGATGATGGAAAATAAACTTCAGTGTTTGACCTTGGTGTTTGACTTTGTCTCCTGCCCCGAGTCATCCATATCAATATAACCTCCCGAATTATTGCCTTTGAGATTCGAGGCCAGCACCACAGTACCTCGAATACTAAGGTTACCTAGTATTTCATCGCAAAAGATTCGGGTTCAAGTGCCTTACAATTGAGTTATCGGCCAGCTACCTTTCCCATCGATACCATTGCTCCTACTAGGTATATATACCACAATGTACGGAGGGTGCCATGAGTCGCATTGATGAGCTGTTCAAATTCCAGGGTTATTAATCGGTATCAATACCAATTCCATTTACTTTTGAGCGTCAGGTGACTCGTTCATGTGACAGCGCAGGGATGTCTCGACCGAATTGGGACTCCCCAGCCATCCCATCCTCCATCTTTGAAAGGAGTCCATTATGCGAAAGCATTCTGCGCCTCTGCACCAAGGTGTCAGTCAACGTACCCTAGATCTCCGTTGTCGTTATCTACCCCGGTTTCACAAATTCAGCACTACGAGCCGCCGCCGCCAAAAAGAACTCCAACCCAACCAATGAGAATATCCTTCGCGCATATCAGGCAACGATTCCCCGTCCACCGATTGGCTCCCCATTTACGAATTCGATACACCTAAGATGAAGCGGACATTGTGCATCTCATTCATAACATTGTCCGAAATTATCATCGCTTGTCAGCAATCTCGGAGTATGAAGCGATGGCAATCACCTCGACAAGACGCCTTGGAATGAGCTTAATGATTCTGATGCGGCAAAATCACCGATTTGATTTTTTTAACTTTTTCAACACGAGCTGGTCCAGACCTCCAAATGGAACTAGAGGCTACCATTACATGTCGGCAAGGTCGGGTACAGGTATCTTTGTAAAAGCGCAATTTAGCTTTTGTGCGGAGCAAAGAATTCACCTCTTTCATAATCAGACGATCTCGTACTGTAGCCATCTTCCCAGATCACTATCACTGTCCTAATATTGGGAATACTAGGGTCGTGCGCCACCATCTGATTCCTTCATTGTCATTGGATGGTAATCACCCTCGAGTACCTAGGTATTTAATAGCAAGCATGTGATCAAATCGCCGTGTCAATCTGGCATCCCTGAACTGTCATCTCAGTTCCCCCGAAGAATCTTTTAGCCCTTCCAATTAGCATCCCCCAAAGCTCAGCAAATACATGCAGCTGTGAACCAGGGAATTGGTTTCGGCCAAGTTGATTGTAATGACCCTGCATACAACAGGTCTTAGCAAGAGCACCTTTCCCTGTGCCAATTTCGTTATGGCTCGGGCCACCAACGCTTTGAATCTGGAAGGATTTCGTACAATCAATCTAACTAATAAGATCAAGATGTTTGTCTTTGAGGATTTGTTGTTGACAGGAACGACTTCCTGGGCATCATCTCAAGAACCTGCTCCACTGGTGCTCCATTATACAGGCTGACAGGACAGCAATCATTATGACAACAATCACCATGCAGTTTGAACTTGAGATTCAGTATTTCGGATACCAACAGCATTTGCTGCATCGGCCTCCATGCCCCCCTGCTGCATTAGCTACACCTGTTGTGTCTGTAATCTTACCAATGATACAATCCGCTCTGCCCGAACTCACTCTCTGATTCGCTGGGATCCTTCCATCGACTTTTGCGAATTCGAACATGTCAGTGAATTCCCGTTCCACCGACTTTCGAAAGCTTGTTTCGATGGGTTCCATGATAAATGAGGATCCAATCAGAAATAATTCCAACCATCCGAGCCATACAAACATAACCGCAAGGATTCAATTCCTCCGCTTAGAAAAGTGGAAGCCACTGGACGGCGCTAACAACCCCGCACTGAAATTTCCCCAACACCCCAACACCCCAAACTCCCCAAACTCCCCAAACTCCCCAAGTTCTCCACCTTCGGGTGAATAATAGAGCGACCCAATTTTCCGTCTGCTTTATGCGCGTTGTCGCAGGGATAAATATTTAAAAACCCATAAGACACCCACTTGCGCCTTCCTTTCTTTCTTCTTCACGTTTGTTCCACAAACCGACAGTATGAGTAACGCTATCACGGAAGAAAAGCCGACCATATCGGAAGTCGAAGCACATCCCACCTCCGCCGACATACCTGTTTACCATGATGAGAAGATCGATGACAGAGCGCGCGCCATCAATGCCGAGCAAATTGAACATGACATGACGGTGCTCCAGGCTGTGAAAGCCTACCCCGCTGCCAGTTGGTGGGCATTCGTCATGTCATGCACCATTGTAAGCTATCGGCCCACGACAGGCTCTTGCCACGATTGGAAAATCATTTCTCTAACTTGGTGACAGATTATGGAGTCCTACTGTGTTTTCCTGATGGGACAGTTCATCGCTACAGAGGCGTTCGTTAGAGATTTCGGTGTGGTGAGCGCTGTGACCGGGAAGAAAATTATCGAAGCTTCATGGCAATCGGCATTCCAGTGTAGTGGACCACTAGGTGCCTTCATCGGTGTCTTCGTCGCAGGTCCCATTACTAGTAAGATTGGATATCGATGGGCAACGATTGGCGGTCTCATGGCTCTGAACGCCTTCATTTTCATCTTCTATTTCGGAAACAGCCAAGGCATGTTTTTCGCATCTCAGATCTTAGAAGGCATCCCATGGGGTATTTTCATCGCCAATGCACCCGCTTATTGCTCCGAAATTGTGCCATTGAGATTGAGAGCTCCAGCGACGCAGATGCTGCAGATGTTCTGGGCCATTGGCGCACTCATTGTCGGCGGTATCACTTACCACTACCAATCCAAGCATGACTCTTCGGCGTACAGGTTTGTCTGCTCCCATAGATACTATCGAGGAGGTCTGTACTAACAATCATATCAGGGTTCCCATTGCACTCCAGTGGATGTTTCCCACTCCTCTCGCTATTCTACTCTTTATTGCGCCCGAATCACCCTGGTGGCTTGTCCGCAAAGGTCGTCTCGCCGAGGCAGAGAAGGCCATTGCACGACTTGGGCGCGCTTCTGCAAATGATAATCCCGCTGACGCAGTCGCAATGATGCGACGTACAATCGAGCTCGAGAAGAGCGTGAAGCAGCCCAATCTTGTTGAACTCTGGAGAGGTACCGATCTTTACCGCACTTTGATTGTTTGTGGTGTATACGCGTCTCAGAATCTGACGGGTAATCTGATCGCTAACCAGGCGGTGTACTTTTTCAAACGTGAGTCTACCTATTCCTTGTAATGCCAAAACAAACTGACATCAATTCAGAGGCCGGCATGGCAGACAACACCGCATTCGCTCTTGGTCTCATCACTTCCGGCCTCCAATTGATCATGGTCATTATCTCTTGGGTCCTCACTACATACCTCGGCCGACGGACCATTTATGTCTATGGTCAATTCATCGCCACTGGATTTTTAGTCGCGCTTGGTATTGCGGCTTCAGTTGGTAAGAGCACTGCCGCTAGCAATGCACAAGCATCACTTGCCTTGCTCGTCTCAGTCCTTTTCTGCTTGGGACCTGCCCCTGCTTCATGGGTCATTATTGGCGAGACCTCTTCCGTTCGTCTTAGACCACTGACGACCGGTATTGGGCGAGGTGCTTATTACTTGGTCAATATTCCTTGTATCTTCCTCGCTAGTTATATGCTCAACACTGATAAGTGGAACCTGGGCGGCAAGAGTGGCTACGTCTGGGCTGGCACTGCCTTGTTCTGCAGTATTTTGTCTTGGCTCTTTGTTCCAGAGATGAAGAATAGATCCTACCGTGAGATCGACATCTTGTTCACGCGTAAAGTACAGGCTCGCAAATGGTCGAGGACAGTCATCGACATCAACGATGATGAGTAGATGGAAGTTTGAAGAAGGCTAAGTAGCACTCTTTTGGGAATGGGCGGTAGAGGGGGTTTCTAACTGGATATTGTCCAATAATTATTTTCAAGATTAGTTGCATAGTAAAGATCATATCGAAACTAACATCATGTTCGTATTGCGTGGATATCGACTGAAATTAAAACGCGATTGCAAAAACGCGAGTAAAATTAGGAACATTTTTGTGACCGAATTTCATTACTCAATAGGGAAAAAAATTCCCCTTGCGCCGCCGTTGCGCCGCCGTAACACCACATACCTAGGTAGATTTAAAATCATCTGTTACATTTTTTGAATCTAATTACTGAAAACTTTTTGGGAACCCTTTTAAACATGCACATGAACAAATACGATGCTACTTGTGAAGTATTTAATATTTTGAGGTTAATGCTTCAAAGTTATCGAGGTTCAAAATAGGGTTAGTATAATCACAAGTAAGCCAAAATACATGAATGAGTAATTCGATCCTAGTATCATTTTCTACTAATATTCAGCTTTCATACGTGAATGTTCTCCAGTTCTCGTGAACATTGCGCGAACTTGTCTCCTCATCATCAAATCTCCAAAACTTCTGGTTGGCCCTGCTATTGACATTCCCACCGTTTTGAAAACATCTGTTTAGGATGGGCCCCAATTCTGCACATACAAAGGTAAGCTGCACGGGCGACTTTCCGTCCAACTTATAACGGAGCATTGTGTCCATCTCCTCGTCCGCTCACAAGTCAAAGAATCTACGATAGTGAAAGGGTTATATGGTATTCCAAGACAATTCTTGCATCCCTGATGCGTGCAAACTTCAAGGAGTTGACCTTCAATAATTTGTGGACTTCATATATAACGAAACCATTGCTATCCTAGAAGCTGACACCACCCCAGACATTTCAGAGAGCGCTCAAGAATTCAATCATAAGGGTATGCGAACTTTTAGTATCATCACAAAGCTCAATCAAGTATTTCATAACAGTGATGATAACAGATTCTTTTACAGTCTTGCAAGAAACGAGCAGATCCATTCATGTTTTGGAATATCTTGATCGGTTTCAAAACACTTTCAGTATTATATATAGTAGGATGGTTCTCTCGTTGAACATCGATGATATTACTATTTGCTTGAAACAACTAATGTTCAAGATAAACTATTCTTGAAAAGATATAATAAGTAGAATCGATACATTTAGTATCTATTACTCGGATTTTCTCAAGCGATATATAAGAGTAGTATTTTTGAAAATATTATAAGTACTAGAATTTAGATTATAATTAAGAAAAATTGATTAAAAAAGAAATTCTACTATTAAAAAGAAAGTTCTTAATGATAAAAAATCTTTTTTTTTAAAGAATAGAATTTTTTATATTTTTATAAGTATAACTCTCAATAGGAAATATAGTAAGATGTATAAAATAGAATATAAGAGTATTCGAAGGATTATTATATTTAGTATAATATAATTAATTTTGAGAAAGAGCTCTATATAAAATAGAGCTCTTAACTATGACTAATCAGAACTAGCTCCCTATACTCTATTATTATGTGAATTGTACTTTTAATATATGTATATATAAAATAAATTATATTATTTTTTGTAATTATAGATCTTTTAAATTATAACTGAGGCTTGATCTCCGCAATAGGGGATAAATTCTTAGAGTTAGCATAGTTAATTAAATTAATGACTGGTGGTGGGGAGGGCGCTCGGCGTAGTATTCGGACCTGATAATATTCAGTTTTCAGAGAACACCGCTCTGAAAACGATCTCTTAAGGGCTACTATGACTGATTACAACACTTCAGTTACTTTTGAAGTTGGTGATTACAAGCATGTCTTTCAACTCGATACGCGAAAGTTTATTCTTCGATCTAGTATTTATAAATGTTTGTATCGTAAGTCTTTTTAAGATAATTTAGATCAAATTAATTTAGTTGTCAACGTAGATAGTAGTGACGTATCATACATCATCGTGAACTTTTACTTTAGATTGCGAATTTCTATACTAACTAGGTATTCTTCCGACAAGTGTCCACGCCATTGCGAGCTGCTAGGACAATTCATAATACTTAATTTCGGTATTGATCGAGAATCGTCTTTATCGACAAAAGAAGGACTAGTTATTCAAATCCTTATGAATATTCTGCGACTTTTATAATAATGACCAATAGTTCTTTGCCATTGACCAGCAATGTCTAATGCGTGATAACGGCGCAGCAATACCACTTTAGCCGCCAGGCTACCATTTAGCTGAATCCTCTCTCAACAATGTCAACTCAATCCAAAAATCCGCATCAACGCCAACTCTGCGGCGTAATTATCCATTGAAAACTTTCTTTTCTCACGGAACCGGCCCGCCTAATGCGTCTTCTGGAAAATAGTGATTATGGCGAGGTCCGCCTTACCAAGAATTTCGTCGTCGACATTCCCCGCTATGCTATACTGTCGCACACATGGGGGACTGATGAGGAGGAGGTCACCTTCAAAGATATGATAGACGGTATTGGCAAATCCAAGGCCGGTTATAAGAAGATCCGATTCTGCGGAGAACAGGCTGAACGAGATGGTATACAGTATTTCTGGGTCGATACATGCTGTATCGATAAATCAAATAACAGTGAACTTACGGAAGCTATCAACTCTATGTTTCGCTGGTATAGTGATGCCGAGAAATGCTACGTTTATTTATCAGATGTTTCGAGTTCCACCACCAGTGATAATGACCACAACTCTCACCAGCCGTCTTGGGAATCCGCCTTTCGGAGAAGTAAATGGTTCACTCGAGGCTGGACCCTTCAAGAGCTTATCGCTCCGATATCAGTTGAATTCTTCTCCATAGAGTGGGAGAAATTGGGCGACAAAACATCCTTGAAGCAATACATTCATGAGATCACAGGCATTTCTGTCAAAGCACTTGAACGAGTTTCGCTATCTGATTTCACTGTCGATGAACGCTTTTCATGGGCCGAGAAGCGTATGACTACTCGTATAGAGGACAATGCTTATTCATTGCTGGGCTCGCGGGTGACACGAAAAGTGGCACACACAATATATTTCCCCATCAAAATTTTGGTGGGATTTTAGACTATATGTTTAGCCCCTAGCTAGCTCCATTACGTATCAATATAAAATTTTAAAATAAATATCACAAAATATTTCGAATATAAGCTTTTTAATGATATAATTTTTATTATCTTGAGATTATTATAACAAAAGTTATAATCTATTGAATATTAGGCTTATTTTGAATTTAAACATAATTTGTACTTAGAATTTAAAATATTTATAAACTTCAACTAATTATAATTAACTCAATTCTTTGTTTAAAATATTTAAAAAAACTATATTTGAAAGATTAAAAAGTAATTTATAATATATATAAGATTTATTTATTATAACTTTGAATTGAGTGATTGGTGTATATTAGAAAATTGATAATTTGAAAGAATTTTGGTAAGAAATCCCCACCAAAATCTAATATTATTAATAAACTCAACAACTTCATAATTATATTAATAAATTATTTCAAATGATATTAAGATACTAACATTTTTAAAATAATATTTCGATATTCAAATATATTTTCAAGCTTTAATATTATTATCTAAAAATTTATCTTAATTTTTAAAATAGATATATAATCTTATAACTTTTAAAAGATAAGTTACTTTTAATCTATAATATCTTTTGATCGAGATTTTTTTATATAATACAATTAGCTAATATATTATTATTCATTAATATTTTATAATATATAGAAATGTAGAGTTATCTTATAGTTAATTTGTTTTATTATTAATTTTTGAAAAGAGTGAGTTGAATGGAGTTTATATTCTAATTATATTGTGTGTGCCACTTTTCGTATCACCCGCGAGCTGGGTATCTTCGAAATCTACATGACTCTTATCTATGGCGAGGGGAGAGAGAATGCGCTCAGACGGCTTCGAAAGAAAATCGACAAGGCATTGAAAAGTAAGTCGTTTATTATTTTAACGAAAGCCATCGAAATGGTAGATATATACAAGTATAAAATAACTCATCAATTCTAGATTCTGTTAATTCAAATCGCGCTCCATACCAGACACGACTCTTGAAGATTGATTCCACGTTTGCACAAGAGGATAATGGTTATTGGCAATTAATTGAGTAAGATATTCCCCTTACAATTCCAACTTGTTGTACAAATAAATAAATCCTTCGCATATGCAGATAACTGCGGCTCCATCCTTGGCTTCGCTGATAAAAACATAGCGCCACCGGGGATGGCAAACCGGACTTAGTCTACATCAAGAACAAGAATACAGGATCTGGATATGTCGAAATCCATATTGCTTCTTCGTATTCGGATTTTCAAACACTAATTCTCGAAGTCGCTACCACTTTTGTTGAAGAAGATAATGGAACATGGCGTCTTTTCAAATCTTCCAACTCTGCTCTGCCTGATCTTATATACATCAAAACTCAAGATACCCCATCAGGAAAGGTAGAGGTTCACATTGCTAGTGGCGCATCGATGTACACGTCTCGAAGTCTTGAAGTTGTTACCTCGTTCGAAAATGAAAAGAAGCAAAATGGAAAATGGAGTGTGTATGATTACAACGGTGATGGAAAGCCGGACTTGGTGTTTATCAAGCCTAGAAATACAGGAACTGGAACGACTGAGGTTTTCGTAGCATCTGGTTTTTCTAATTATCAAGAAAGACTCATCAGTACAGGAACCATCTTTCCTATTGAAGATGGAAACAACGGATTCTGGCAACTTGGGCCCTACAGTATCAATGGAGATCTGATTCATATCAAGGACGCCAACACTGGAACAGGAACAATCGAAGTTCATATCGCATCCAGAGCTTCAGGGTGGCAGACTAAATTGTTGGGAGTTGGTTCTAATTATGCAGAAGAACAAGATGGATGTTGGCAATTAGTTGACTTTAGCGCTGATGGCAAACTTGATCTCACGTACATTAAGTATCTAAATACTGAAAGTGGTACTGTTGAGGTACATGTTACTAGTGGTTGGTTTCCTAAAGACCTCTCTAGGTGACCAACTAATTAGTACTTAAAGTCTTCAATTTCCCAACTATTCTACTTCGAATACTAATTTGCTACTCAATACAGATTCCTACAAATCAAATAACTTTTCAATACTCAATTACTTCATTGTCGATCGAAGCATTCTCTTGTATCCTAATCACTCTCCAAATTGTTGTTATTCAACGTCACTTTCCTCTCCGTATAAAACAACTAGTCTTGGAGGTTAGCTCTTATAATAAGAAGGAATAATATTATTATAAGGATAGTGGAAGATCTAGTCAGTCTTAGCTTGAGGGATAAATCGAATATATAGAATAAGAGTTGAATTGAAGTCAATTTAGAAGAGCTAGGCTAAGTTGAAATAAATTGCTTACTTTTTCCTAGAATTCCTTTAAAGAATATTCTAGGTTTATATAATTTATAATGAAATTCCAGTATATTTTATACTTATAAATAAGATCGATTTAAATTGTATCTTATAAAATCACTTTAGATAATAAAAAGAAAGTATAATTAATCAATTTAGCGATATTTCCTGTATACTTCTATCTAGTTTCATTTCATTTTATTTTATTATAAATCAGTTTGATAAAAGATATTATTATATAATTATATAATAATATGATTTTATAATATAAGATTATATTATATATATATTAGTTATCAATATATTCCTTATTTGATAAGATATTAGTAAGTGATTTAATGGATTTATTATAAATCTTTATATATTTTCTTAATAGATGTATTAAATCAATCTTATTATATATCTTAATTCAGATTAGGGTTAGGGTTAGGGTTAGGGTTAGGGTTAGGGTTAGGGTTAGGGTTAGGGTTAGGGTTAGGGTTAGGGTTAGGGTTAGGGTTAGGGTTAGGGTTAGGGTTAGGGTTAGGGTTAGGGTTAGGGTTAGGGTTAGGGTTAGGGTTAGGGTTAGG